CGCGCCAACCGCCGTGAGCAACCGCGAGTGCAGGCCATGCCAGCTCGGCGTCACGTACAAGGCACAGCCGGGCCAGAACACCACCTGTGCAGCGGTGCGCACCTGCTTGGCTGGGGAGGAGCAGACGCTTGCGCCCACCCTCTCCTCCAATCGCGTGTGCACCACGTGTGGCCCCGGCACCTTCAAGGCCGCTGCTGGCCAGGCCACGTCTTGCATCGCCACCCAGAACTGCGCCCCAGGCTTCCAGGTGTGTGTGCGTGTGTGTGTGGTGTGTGTAGTGTGTGTGTGTGTGTGTGTGTGTGTGTGTGTGTGTGTGTGTGTGTGTGTGTGAACTTGTAGGTGGGGGCCGTGGCGCGAGGCCCAAATCCTGCATGCCAGCCTACCCCTCGTCACGAAGGCATTGACAACTCCTCCAGCTGCCAGTTTCACGTATTCCAAGTCCGTTTTGTTGCTCACGCATGCTTCTCCCTCGTTTCCCACGCACCCATCGCCACATTCACCATGCCCTTTGTGCAGGAGTCTGTTGTGCCGACACCGGCGAGTGATCGCCAGTGTGAGGCGTGCCCTACCGGCACCTTCAAGTCCACCACGGGCCAGGCCACTTGCACGGCCCACGCCACGTGCGACACCGACACGCAGTACCAGACAAAGGCGCCTACCACGTCGACCAACCGCGAGTGCGGCCCGCTCACAGACTGTGGAACCGGCGAATGGGAGGAGCGTGCACCAACAGCAACGAGCGACCGCGTGTGTGAGCTGTGCGACTCGTGTGAGGATGAGGGCCTGACACAGGCCACCGCTTGCACGGAGACCGCCAACACCGTGTGCGAGAACTGCGACACGTGCAGCCCGGGCTTTTTCGTGTCGTCGCCGTGCACGTCCGTGTCTCAGACTGAGTGCATGGAATGCGCAGAGTGCGGTGCCGACCAGTACCAGACACAGGAGTGCCGCGTGTCGACAAACACACAGTGTACACCGCTGACCACGTGCACCGCGAGCCAGTATGAGACAGTTGCTCCCACTGACACCTCCGACCGCGAGTGTGCTGCGCTGACAACGTGTGTCGTTGGGCAGTACGAGTGCGTGGTGCCCACGGAAACCTCCAACCGGCAGTGCTGCGCCATTGCTCAGTGCGACGTGGGCGAGGAGGAGGCCGTGGCGCCAACAGCGACCAGCAACCGCCAGTGTCAAAACTGTACAGCCGGCACCACGGACGACGATGCCAACGGCGCAACACCATGTGTGCAGTGCCCAGCCGGCACGTTTGTGCCCGAGGGCCGCACCGGCGACTGCAGCGCATACCGCTGTGCACCGGGCACTGTCGACGCCGACCAGCTGCCCAGCACGGCATGCACCCCTTGCAGTAGCGGTGTCTCGTTTGCACCGACATCTGGTCTCACGGCGTGTGTTGCCGTGTCGGACTGCCCCGCCGGCGAAGAGGAGTCTGTGCAGCCCACGCTCTCCAGCGACCGCGTGTGCACCGTGTGTGCTGCGGGCACCTTCAAGGAGGACGCTGGTCAGGACGACTGCATGACAGCATCGACGTGTGCATCAGGCACGCAGTACGTTGCCCAACCGCACACGCCCACCAGCAACACCGTCTGCGCCAACGTGACGCAGTGCACAGCCACCCAGTACCAGACGGTTGCTCCCACAACCATGTCTGATCGCCAGTGCCGCAACCTGACGGTGTGCGAGGCCAACGAGTACGAGACTCGTGCCCCCACCGCCACCACGGACCGTCAATGCGCCACCGTTCGCGCCGCGTGCAGCATGGACGAATTCGAGGTGCGTCTGCGTGTTTGTTTGTTGCGTGTCTGCGAGGGAATACGTGTGTGTGTGTGTGTGTTTGTTAATTTGTGTGTGTGTGTGTGTCTCGAAGTGCCTGCAGTGAATTGCCATTGTGCTTGTTGTTTGCATTCATGACACCACATGCCCTCACTCACCTTGGTTACGTTTCTCTTTCTTTGTGCACAGAGTGCTGCGCCGACGGCCACCAGCGACCGCGAGTGCACGCAGCTCACGACGTGCCGCGCGCAGCAGTACGAGGCACGCGCACCCACGCCTTCAACGGACCGTGAATGCATCTACTGGACAAACTGCACAGCAGCCCAGTTCCAAGTCACCGCACCCACATCGTAAGTTGGGCACACATAAAACGTGACATGGATTTTGTTCCTTCACTCGAAGTCTGTTGCATCTTGCCCTGCGTCATCAGCGGTTGCATCACGCACAAGCGCACACACATGCATAGGCATTCATTCACCCAAACACAACCACACACGCAAACACACCCCTTCTCACCCTTGACGTGGAATACGGAATGTATGATGACAGGGTGTCGGACCGCGTGTGCGCCAACCTGACAGTGTGCACTGCCACTCAATTCGAGGCCGTTGCTCCCACAACCACAACAAACAGGTGCTTGTCATGGCATGTCAGAGCGTGCGTGTTTGTTTGTTTGTTTGATTTGAACCATGCCCCTTTGGGTTGTTGCTGATGTTGATGGTGTGATTGGTTTTGGCGCTCCCCCCCCCCCCAATCTCTATGCTTGCCATCACCCTCGTGCGCACCAATGTCTGTTCACTTTCGATCCCCATATTTCCATGCCCTATTTCACACACTTGCACGCACACACGCACACACGCATACACACCCACACACACACAACGCTTCCTGTCGCGTTTCTGACCCTTCTTCCACCTCCCACACTTCTTCCACCTCGTCCACTGCATTCTTCGCATGTAGGGTGTGTGAGGCGTGCACGGATTGCCCTGGGGGCACGCACTACGAGATGACCCCCTGCACGGCGTCTGCGGATGCCACCTGCGCCATGTGCAGCACGTGCAGCGGAGACACGTACGCCTCAGCAGCATGCAGCGAGACGGATGACACCACATGCACTGCATGCACGCAGTGCGTTGACGGCAGCACGTTTGAGTCTTCGCCGTGCTTGGCGCATGACGACCGCGTGTGCCTGCCCTGCACCGTGTGCAACGTCACAGAGTACATTGAGCAGACGTGCAGCGCAACCAGCGACACGCAGTGCCTGCCGTACACGACGTGCGACCTGGACCAGTTTGAGTCGCAGGAGCCCACGCGCTTCCAGGACCGCGTGTGCACGCAGCACACCATGTGCACCCCGGATGTGCAATACGAGATTGTGGCCCCGACTGCCACCACGGATAGGCAGTGCGATGACCTGAGCACGTGCACGGCGCAGCAGTACATCAGCACCGCGCACACGGCCACTAGCGATCGCGTGTGCAGCGCGCTGCGCCAGTGCACGTCGTCTGAGTTTGAGCTTGTTGCGCCCACAACGACGTCCAACCGCGTGTGCCAGCGCCTCACGGTGTGTGACCCGGAGACAGAGTACGAGAGCGTGCCCGCAGGGCCAGCGCGTGACCGCGTCTGCGCGCCCCTCACCGTCTGCTCGCCACTGGAGTACGAGAGCGTCGCACCCACGCCGACGAGCAACCGCCAGTGTGAGGAGCAGGTCCTGCCCCCGCTTTCACCGCTCGCCATATTCTCTGCCTCTGGCGGCCTTGCGCTGACGTCCGAGACCACATACGCAGAGAGCACTTCTGCCCAGACCGCCGTCCTGCTCCAGGGCACCACAAACGGCGAGGAGGGCACGGGCCCCGTGTTCTCCGCCTCTGTTGGCGAGGCGTCCACCTCGGCCTCGCTCGAGACGACCCGCCCAGCGCCGGCGGCTGTGCGCTTTGAGCTCGCCGCCGCAGGCACCATCTACGAGGACGACCCGTGGGTCCGCGGTGTGCTGCAGGTTTCGACGCCAGCCAACGTGGTGCCCCGCGCCACGGCCATGGACGTGACCGTCCGCCTCGACGCCGAAAACGCTACCTCCGTCTCCTGCACCACCAACGCCCACGGGCTGTGCTCCTTTGCGCTGCGCGTGCCGAGGGGCTGGTACACGCCCGGCGTGGACGCCACGGCCAATGTGACGTTCGCCTTCCAGGAGGCCGCGCTGCAGGGCGCCGTCGCCGTTCAGGGTCAGTCCAGCCGTCTCGTGACGCTTGCGTCCTCGGCCGTGTTTGTGCCAGACAACGACGTGTACGTGCGCCTGCCCAACCGGGACGTCCGCGCGGGCGAGACGCTCGAGCTGGAGGTGCTCTCACGCACCGCGTTCCCCATTGCCTCGTTCGCCGCCGTCGTCACCACCTCGGACGACTCGCGCCTGCGCGTGAACAGCCTCGGCCTCGACTTTGCCTCGTGGACCGGCACCAGCAAGGCGCCCTCCACCACCTCCGCAGCCGTGCTGGGCATTGCCTCTGCCTCTGCCCGCCTCTCCGGGCCAGCGGGCGGCGACCAGCTCCTCTTCACCATCAGCGTCTCCGTGCCTGCGAGCGCCACCCCTGGCCAGGCCAGTATCGACATCATCCTGCACTCGCTGGACAACGCCAAGGGCGAGGGCATCCGCCCTGGTGACCGCGCGCTGCCGGCCCGCGTCGTGTTTGTCGACCGCCAGGGCGCGGACGCCACCAACCAGGGCGTTGTCACCGTCAGCGGCGCTCAGAGCCAGAGCATCTTCGCCGCCCCCGTCTCCACGCTCCTCGCATACACGCCCACCATCTCTGGCGTGGCTGCCCTGCACCACGTGGAGCTGTTCACCATGCGCGAGTCTGGCGGCCTGGAGGCCCTGGATGCGGCCGACGTCACCTGCTCCTCCTCGCACCCGGCCGTCGTGGACGTCACCCCCACGTGCCACCTCAAGCTGGGCGCCTCCAGCGACCTCAACGCCTACGCCGCCACCATCACCGTGACGCTCGATGCCGACGCCGGCGTGACCACCGCCTTTGACGTGCGCGTGCTGCGCCCTGCCCTGCCTGTGCAGCTGACTGTGGATGACGCCGAGCTCAACGCCGTGACCGGCTGGCTGGACGAGTCGAGCAACTGCCGCCAGCTGTACCAGAAGACCCGCGTGCGCGCGTTTACCAGCTTTTCCGACGACAGCGGCCTCGTGGTTGACAACATTGATGTGACCAAATACGTGACGATGCACGTGAGCAACGACGGCGTGGCCACGCTGTCCACACCCACGCACGCCGGCCACGACTTTGCCGGCGTGTATGTGCAGGGCTTCCAGCCAGGCACCGTGCAGGTGTCGACCACCGTGCAAGGCCTTGCCTCCTCCGTCTCCGTGGTCGTGTCCAGCACCCCCGTCGTCGCCACCCGCCTCGACATCACCCCCGTGGTCAGCCTGGGCTTCTCCCCTGCCCTGCCCTCGGAGCTTGCGTCGCAGGCCGCCCTCGCTGCCACGCTGCAGGTCTCCAGCACCTTCACCGCCACCAACCAGCACGCGCCCGTTGGCGCCAGCGTCGTTCTGTCGGACGCCACCCGCTTGGAGCTTACCGCAGCCGATGGCGTGCGCCTCGTCTCCGATGACGCGGAGGTTATCGAGGTGCAAGGTCTGGCCCTCGTGGTTCGCTCCCAGGTGCAGACGGCCAGCGTGCCCGTGCTTGACGCGTCCTGGTCGTCGGGCGCCTGTGCTGCGCAGCCCATCATCTCCCGCGCCGTGCCCGTGTCGCTGAGCCTGCCCACCGTCGCCAGCATTGCCGCGTCCACGGAGCGCACCGTGCTTGCTGCCCCGGACAGCGCTGCAGCGGCCGCGCCGTTCATGCACGCGTCTTCCACGCCCGTTTTGCTCACCGCCACGCTCACCGGCGGCGCCCGCCTGGACCTCGACGAGACAGACAGCCTCGACATTGTGTCGCCCTCCGAGCTGGCTGTCACGGAGACGTCGACGGGTCTCCTCGTCACAGTGGCCAGCGGCGCCGCGCCGGGCGTGTACCACGCCATGGTCACCTACGAGACGGCCAGCACCAACATCAGCATCTCCGTCGTGGATGTTGCCGCCCTGCACGTCACATGCCGCCTGCACGCCAACGGCCACACGTCACAGGCCGAGGCTGGCGTGGTTGCCTCACTCGCGCCCTTCCAAGGCCTCAGCCCGGCCACGTTCCAGGCGTGCGCCGTGGACGTGCGCGGTGTGCTCAGCACAGATGGCGGCGCCACGGCCGTGCAGACCACCGACGACGTGGCTGCCAGCGCAACCATCTCTGCCGTCAGCGGTGCGCTTGCCGTGACGGGCACGATCGTCTCCGTGGCCAGCCCGACATCGCCCGTGCTTGGCCAGGCCGCCGTGGACGTCTCCGTTGTCGGTGTGACGACGCAGCTCACGCTCACCGTGTCCTCGACGCCGGTGTCCGTTGCCAGCGCCACCCTCACCTTCCCCTCGCAGCTGCGTGGACTCGCGCAGACGACGTCCGTCACGCCAGAGGCTGCCGTCACCTTCTCGGACAGCAGCGTCTTCGACAGCGCCGCGGTCCTGCCTGCCGGCCTGGTTGAGTTTATGCTGGAGGAGCCGGCGCCGCTTGGCGCGACCGGTGCATCTGCCAGCTTGCTGAGCGCAGCCACGGGCGAGGTGCGCCTGCTCGGCAACAGCGTCGAGAGGTTGTCGCTCTTCCTGGTCACCGTGGACGCTACGTCGCCCGTGGTCCTGGCAGAGGCCTCGTTTGCCTGTAACCTGCTGCCTGCCGAGGGCGAGGTGGACTTTGGCGTCAACAGCGGGCTTGCCCTGTCCGGCGCCACCGCGGGCTCGCTGCTCAGCTTTGAGGTGCGCGCCAACGCCGGCTCCGCGGACATTGACCGCCTCGTGTTTGACGTCCTCTTCAACGCGTCGCTCGTGGACTTTGTCACGGCGGGCGCCGGCTCGGACTTTGTTGGGGCCGTGAACGCCTTCTCGTCCACGCTGCCGCAGGAGGAGCAGGCCGCCTTTGCCACGCACTTTGTGCGCGTGACCGCAGAGCCCAACGCCGGCGTGTCTGGCGTGCCCCACATTGCCACCATCACCTTCACCGTCAAGGCCGACACGGCTGATGAGCAGGTCTTCTTCGCTGGCCGCGTGGCTGCCTTCACCTCCCGCGCAGGCGGCGCCATTGCCGTGGGTGCGTCCGAGTCCACGCCCATCGTCTCACCCGCCGCGTCCATCTCCACGGTGATTGAGGCGCCCTCGGTGATGAACCGTCGCCGCCGCCGCCGTCGTCGTGACGTGGCCACCACGGCCTGCCCGACCCCGCCGTGCGCCGTGTGCCCGAACGGCGACACGCACCAGACAGGCGATGTCAACGCCGACTGCGTGTTCACCCTCGACGACGTCACCTTCTTCATGGACGCGTACCTCGAGACGCTGCTTGACCCCAACTACTTCAGCACGCTGCTTCCTGTACAGCAGGAGCAGCTCGATGCGGACCAGGACGGCACCATCGGCGTTCTGGACGTGGATCTCCTGTCCCGCGTGCTCTCCAAGGACGTGCGCTTTGTGCGCGACGTCATGGTTCAGCCCGTGGACACGAGCAACGGCTGCCGCCTCGAGGTTGCGGTGCGCGTGTTTGGCGCCGGCAACGTGCCCGCCCTGCCCGGCTCGACGCACGTCTTCTTTGACGTGGAGTCCATGTCCGCTGGCTTTGACACCCTGTTTGATGCGTCTGTGGTCGAGGTTGGCCAGCGCATCAACGTGGACAAGGGCTCGAGCTCGCTGCAGGGTGGCCTGTGGCAGGCGGCGCACCTCGGCGGCGACGTGTACGGTGTCGTCGTGCGCACCCCCATTGCCTCGGAGGACATGCACGGCATCACCGTGTTCCAGCTGACCAGCGTCAACACCACAAGCGGCAGCGGCGGCTTTGTTGGCGTGAGCACCGACGCGCTCAGCTTCACCTGGAGCGGCCCGCGCGTGCCGCCCTTCAACTTTGCCGGGTACGACTTTGAGCTGACGGTGCCAACGATGCCGCCGTTCCAGTTTGTGCGCACGGCCGGCTACAACCCGTTTGCCACGTTCACCAACGAGCAGGCGACGGCGAGCTGCCACGCCACAACTTCGTGCACGGCATCCGAGTACGAGACGGCGGCCCCGACAGCCACGTCCAGCGCCGAGTGTATGCCCATCAGCACCTGCGACGCAGAGGAGTACGAGACGGAGGCGCCCACGGCAACCACGGACCGCGAGTGCGTGAACCGCACCGTGTGCAACGTGCCCGTCGAGTACCAGTCGTCTGCCGGCAACGCCACGGCCGACCGCACGTGCACCAACGTCACCGTGTGCCTGGAGGGCGAGATTGCGCTGCTGGAGCCCACGCCCACCTCGGACCGCGTGTGCCGCCTCGACGCGCCCTGCGACTACAACATGTACGAGAGCGTGCCCCTCACCCTGACCACGGACCGCGTGTGTCTGCCCGTGTCCGAGTGCGACCCGGGCTTTGAGGAGACGGCGGCGCCCACGGCCACGTCTGACCGCGAGTGCTCCCTCATCGACTACTGTGCAAACGACCCCTGCCAGAACAACGCCACGTGCGTCAGCTCCACGCAGCTGCTCACCTTTGTGTGCAACTGCCCTCCGGGATTCACGGGCACGATGTGCGAGTATGCCGACGCGTGCGGTTTGCTCGGCGATCAGAACCCGTGCGCGCCGGGCTCGCAGTGTGTGAATGACGCCGGCGGCATCCGCTGCGAGTGTGCGTTGGGCCAGGCGTGTGGGTGCTGCGACGGCTTTACCTTCCTGTCCTGCTCCCTGCAGACGCTGCCGGACACGGGCTCGTACTGCTCCGACCCGGCGACGGTGGCCGAGGACCTGGACAACCTGCAGTCGCGGCAGCAGCAGCAGAGCAGCGCCACTGGCGAGTCGCTGGGCATCATTGTCGGCGGCGTGCTGGGCGGCCTTGCGCTGCTGGTGCTGGCGGTGCTGGCGGTGACGTCGCTTCGCCGCCGCAGCCGCGACAAGTCTGAGGCGCTGGTCAAGTACGAGCAGGATCCATTCAGCGGCATGCTCACCAGCATGCGCAACCCCGTGTTTGCGCCGGCGTCGCAGTACCTGGCGGCGTTCAAGCGCGTGGTGTGCTTCTCGTTCCTGCGCTACAACAAGGACCTCGTGCTGACGGAGCCTGCGGAGGAGCTGGGCACGGTGTACGACATTCTCATGGTGCCGCGCCCGCCCAAGCGCACGCTGCCCACGCTCAAGGATGACACAAACATGTTCATGGAGGCCAAGGTCTCCGAGAACGAGCGCTCGCTCGACGAGGTGGTGGACTTCCTGAGCCTGGCTCTGGCGGACCTGGTCATGGAGGAGGCCATCGACACGGCCGCCAAGGAGCAGAGCAACGGCACGCGCCCGTACCGCGCCAACGTGCCCAACGACGCCTCTGGGCTCATCCCGAAGCGCTGGGCGGCGTACCTGGACCCGATTACGGGCCAGGTGGAGGAGCCCGCGTACGAGGACGCCAGCCTGCTGCGCGGCGAGTTTGAGGACGACGAGTTTGCTGTCGACGGCAGCGTGAGCCCGCTGACGTTTGCGCAGGCGGAGCGCTTCCTGGCGCGCCGCGTGACCATGCGCAAGTCGCAGATGCAGCGTGGCGGCGCCCGCGACAACGCGTTTGTGTACGACATGGGCGCCTTCAGCGGCGACGACGACAACGATGAGACATACTCCACGGCCAACATGGGTGACGAGCCCGAGCGCATGTACGATGTCGGCAGCAGCGACGGCTTTGGCGAGCCCGTGTACGACGAGGGCGACGGAGAAGGCGGCGTGCAGGACACGTATGCCTTTGCCAGCAACCCTGCTGCACTGGATGACCTCGAAGACTTCGCGGACGAGGAGGCCACGTACGACATGGCAGACGCCGACACGCAGAACGCGGTGCGCCGTGGCAAGTCCAAGAAGGAGATTGAGGCCATGTACTCGCGCGCCAACAAGGCGTCGGTGCGTGAGCCCAACTACGACAACGCCGCACCAGGCATGCCTGGCGAGCACGACGACGACGACTACGACAGCGCCAACAACCTCGGCCTCTCCGACGAGGAGGAGGACGGCGGGCCAGACTACGACAACACACTGCCCTCCGGGACGTACGATGTGCGCACGATGCTTACCTCTGGGCTGAACGATGACGGCGATGATGATGGTGCAGAGCCACAATACCTTGGCGGCAACGGTTCGCGGCGCCGCGGGTCGGAGCCCGAGCCTGTGTACGACCAAGGGGATGGCGATGTGCTGGGCGCGCTGCCAAGCTTCGACGAGCCAGACTACGACCTCGGCAACGAGGCACCCGGCGCAGAGGAGAGCGGCGAGCGCGACCCTGCGTACGACATGGCCACCGCTGAGGGCGACTCTGCCGGTGACACGACGGGCCTGATGAACACGGACCCGGACTACGACATTGGCGACGCCCCTGCGCAGGAAGAGGAAGGCCTCGTCAGCGAGCTGTTTGATGATGGTGCGTTTGAAACGAGATGAGGGTGGCTGTGGTGGTGGTTGTGTGGTTGTGTCCATGCGTCTGTGTGTGTGTGTGTGTGTGTGTGTCTGTCTGTCTGTCTGTCTGTCCGTCTGTCTGTGGGGGTGTGGGGATGGGTGTTGTGGTCAGCGTTGTAGTTGTTGCCACTGTTGTTGCTGCTGTTGACGTGAACCCTGGTTTACCTGTGCGACAATCATGCCGGCCGCATTTTCTTGGGTGGTTTGATGTCCCCTCGTTTGCGTATTGCACCTTTTTTTGTTTTCGCGTTTGCCCCAATTCACGTCTTTGCGACCTTTGTCCATTTGTTACCTGCCAACAGAAGAGGAGCACGAGCCCACGTATGCGTTTTCTCAGCCACGCAACACCTCTGTGCGTCCCCGCGCCCTGCGCAGCCTTCACGGCCGCACCCGCCCCGAATCCCTTGACGGCTCCAGCATCTAGTTGACTCCCACCCCAACACCTCAACAATCCAACACCCCAACACCCCAACAACAGCCGTTGTTCCTTGACTCTTGTTTCCGTTCAATTGGTCTTTTTTTGTGTGTTCAGCTGTTCTTTTTTTTTTATGTGTGTACGTGTATGTGTAGGCTCCGTCACACGCCGTGTGATGTCGTTTCAATCCCCATGCAAGCACTTCATCCATCTCCTTCCCCTCTTTGTCTTGTCTTTCCTTCTCCTCTCTTGCCTCTTCTTCCCCTCCCCTGCCCCTCGTTTTCTCCCCTCTTCTTTTCTTCCCACCCGTTTGACTGGTGTGTCTGCCTCCAATGAATAGTTCGTGTTCTGTTGGTGCTTTTCCTTGCCAACAAGACGCGTCCGTGAGCGCTGGCCCTGCCTGGCCACTCGTGTGGTTGGATGGTGTTGACTTGCTTGGCGTTGTTTTTGTTGTCTGTGACGTTTTTTCACCCCTGTTTCTCCCTCTCCCCTTGACCAAATACACGACCGCGTTGACAAGCCACCAAGCAAATCAGTGACAAGCACGCACGTCAGAGTCACGGACGCTGGCTGACCAGGCACACGTGTGTGTCGCGTGTGCATCGCCTTGTCCACAATTCCAAGCTGGCGTGCTGTGTCGACCAACTTCACAAACAAAAATAAACCACAACAAACAAACAAACGAGGAAAGGCGCGTTTTGCTCTTTGTTTCTGCACATTCATTTACACCTGCAAACCACTGACTGATTCAAGAACACGATCGCACAGAAGCAACAAAGCAACCAACCACAGCAACCAAGCCACACACCCCTCCCTCACCCCGCATCTCAGGAAGATGAGCGACACAAGAGGAAGAAGCGGCAGTGGCACTGCTGTGCCGTCCAAAGCCATCCCACTGCAGCAGGTGACGCTGTACAAGAACGGCCTGGCCTTTTACGAGCACTCGTGCGCCATTGAGAACGGACGAAAGACGGTATACGATGGCGAGCGCGCTTTCCACATCACCATCCCCAAGAAGACTAAGGACGTCGTTGTGGACACGCTCACCGTGTCGTCGACCGCGACCGGGGCGAGCCCACGCGTCAACTTCGACGCCGACCGCGCGGACGAGTTTGTGGATCGGCAGGAGGAGAGCCAGAAGCGCTTCTTCGACTTCTCCTTCTCCACCTACATGAGCTTTCTCCGCTCCTGCGTCGGCTCAAGCATCGATGTCACGTACGTGTGCACCACCACGCCAACTCGCGCCGCGTCCACGAACGGCCGCCCCACGGGGCCCCACACCACTACAGCGCGTGCCCAGGGCATCATCGTCATGGTGCAAGAGGAGGAGGAGCTGCTTCCCGTCGGCTTTGTCCCCGCAGCGTCCACCGAGCACGGCGGCGAGGCGCCCTCCGTGCCCGTGCCCTTTGCCAACATCCCCTTTGCCCAGGCCAACGCGCCGCTCTTTGCCCAGAACGCCGAGCCCATTCAGCAGCAGCAGGAAATCATGCAGGAGCAAGCCGTGGAAGAAGAGTACGACAACGACAACGACAATGTCGGTTCCTTCCACCTCTTTGGACGAGGTGGCTCTTCCGGCCAGGGTGGCAGAGGTGCGGCCTCGCACCGCACCTTGAGCATCCCGCCCGTGACCAAGGCCAAGGTTCCCGTCGTGTATTTGACGGAGGGCGGGGCCATCCTGCGCATCCCGCTCCGCTCCATCCAGCATTTGCAGATGCAGGACTCCGAGCTGCAGGCGCAGCTCATCACGGCGCTGGCGCACCGCCGCACGTCCAAGTTCCCGCAGCCCAAGGTTGGCAGTGACACGAGCATCTCCATCATCACCTCGGACCTGCACGCACACGCCAGCACGCCCCACACCATCACCACGTCGTACGTGAGCGAGAGCGCGCCGTGGACGTGCAGCTACCGGCTGGAGGCGCCGTCTGCAGACACGGTTGTCGTGCACGGCCAGCAGGTCATGGACATCAAGCGCGCAATGCAACCGCACGACGGCGACGATGACGATGATGCCACCGCCAGCAACAGCACCACCGCCACTGCTTCCGACGGCACGGGAGGCACAGCGCAGGTTGGAGGGCAGACCGCCGGTGAGCAGGACCTGGTTGTGCTGCACGTGATGGCGCGCGTGCAGAACACGAGCGACTACGACTGGAACGACGTTGAGATCAGCCTTGTTGCCAACGAGCTGCAGCTTGTGGAGGACCCAACGAAGATTGACACTTCGCGGCCGGAAAAAGCGCAGCGGGCTGTGGAGCGGCTGCAGAACATGGCCACCAAGAAGGGATACAGCAGCTCAAGCGCCATCTTCATCAAGGTGTGCATGTCTATGGGTGTGCTGGTTAATGTGTGTGTGTTTATGAATGTGTGTGCGTGTGTCTGTGTTTTTGCTTGCATACACGCATGCCTGTGTATGCATGTGTGAGTGTACATGTGTGTGAGTGTGCATGTGTGTGTGTGTGTGTGTGTCTTTCCGGCCTGTTGATTCCGTCCAATCTTCCTCCACATTCTTACTCACTACCACTGCTGACCTCCACTCTGCTTCCTTTGCAACAATGGCTCTCAGACGCTCACGGGCAAGACCGTCTCACTCGACGTGTCCTTCCGCGACACAATTGCAAACCTCAAGTCCAAGATCCAGGACAAAGAGGGCATTCCCCCAGACCAGCAGCGGTGCGGTTGCTTGCTTGTGTGTGTGTGTGTGTGTGTGTGTGTGTGTGTGTGTGTGTGTGTGTGTGTGTGTGTGTGTGTGTGTGTGTGTGTGTGTGTGTGTTTATGTGTGTGTGTGTGTGTGTGCCCTGCGTGTGTCTGTCTGTCTGTGTGTCTGTCTGTCTGTCTACAAGTGCAATGGCCTGTAATTCTGCCTTGTCACTGTTATGATGTTTCACTGCGCTCCTCCCCTTCCCCCTCGCACACACACACACACACACCACCACCACCACCACCACCACCACCACCACCACCACGCTCCCTCCCCCGACGCCAGCGTAATCCGGTCTGAGATTGACGGCAGCATCCAGATGAAGAGTTTCCTGCGCGGCTCCCCCGAGATCAGCATTGGGCTCAACGAGGACCTCATGATCGGCAAGGAGCGCGGACGTACGTATCACACACACACACGCGCGCGCGCTCTCTCACGGCCCTGTCTCCTTGTGTGTCTGTCTGTGTTCGCACCTGAGTGCGTGTGTGATTTTGCCTGTCGTCACAATGCCACTCTCAGTCCACTCAACCCACATCTCACCTCCTGCTGCGTCTCCTATTCGCGTCGCCACTGTGCATGCAGTGTACGGGCTCGTTCTTGACGACTGCAACTTCCACGAGTGCGTCAAACTCGACAGCTTTGAATCCCAGAAAGTGCTCAAGCTGAACCCGCCCGACGGAGAGGTACACACACACACACACACACATTGTGTTGCGTTGCGCTTGCTGAGTGTGCCTTTGCCGCTGCGTGTGCCTGTGGGTCGCTGAGTTCACATTCCGTCTTCACCAATGGCGCCTCCTTCTCCTCCTCCTCCTCCTCTGCAGTTTTCCCTCATGAACTACAGAATCAGCGGCGAAGGCGGAGGTATGTTGTTGTTGTTGTTGTTGTTGTTGTTGCTGTTGTTCTTGTTGTTGTTCTTGTTGTTGTTGTTGTTGTTCTTGTTGTTGTTGTTGTTGTTGTTGTTGTTGTTGTTGCTGTTGTTGTTGTTGTTGTTGTTGTTGTTGTTGTTGTTGTTGTTGTGTGCGTGTGTGCGTGTTGGCTTGTGTTTCTGGCTCGGAGATGGTTTTGCCGCTCCGGTCAGCGGCTCGCTGTCTCACATCCCGTCGCACCCGTTCCGCACGTACACATACACATACACTCACCTTTTGCTGCAATCCAACCTGCGTGTGTGCATTTACGCAACCACGTCGTCAGCGTTTGCGCACGCGCTGCCGTTTCGCGTCGCCGTGGTGCTGGAGGATGGCTCCGGTCCAGAGAGGTGTCGTCCACGTGTTTGCTTGCTTGCTCAGTTTGTTTTGTTTTGTTTTGTTGTTGTTGTTTTTTGTTTTGTTTTGTTGTTGTTGTTTTTTGTTTTGTTTGTTTGTTTGTTTTGATTTGGTTCCTGTTATTGTGCTCGCCGGCTGTGCTTTGCTTGGCGCTCGCAATTCCATTGGTGCGGATGCATGCACTCACCCCTTTTGATGTCGCTGTTGTCGCCGCAACAGGAAGGACGTGCTGATCAAGCTTGAGTCAGATCTGCCCCGCAAAAAGTACGCCGCACCCACCCTCTGGCATTGGTGGAGGACGCGTGCATGCATGTATACATTGCGCTCACTTGCACACACACACACACACACACACACACACACACACACACACACACACACACACACACACTTGCTCGCCCACTCACTAACACACGCACACACATTTGCTCGCCCACTGTCTAACACACACACGCACACTTCCTCACTCACTCCCTCACTCTCGCACTCACACATTCTTTCTCACACTTTTTTTGCGCTCTCAGCTTTGGATCCAACGTTGTCGTCAAAGGAACATTGCCCAAGGGCACGGTTGGGTGCGTTGCAGCTGCTCGCTGGTGTTCTCCTCTCTGTTGCTGTTCCCCCCCCCCCCTGTACCTGCATGTGCAAACATGTTTACCCTTGCATTGGACGCGATGTGCTGCCATTCTCGCTGCTCACGTCGTGCGTATTCTTCCTCCGCGCCACCGTTGCTGTGTAGCTGTGGGCACGAATTTGGCACATCGGGACACAAGTTTACCTTTAACAAGGAAGACAAGGTGAGAGCGGGCGTGTGCGCGGTGTGCTGGAGCACCCTTATTCTACGCATCAAACTTCTGCATACACCAATACACCGATGCACACACACACACACACACACACACACACACACACACACATGTGAACCCCGTCACCCGCCTCACTCTAACCCCCTCCTCCCGCTTTCTCGCCTGATTCCACCGCATGCAGACGTTCTCGTGGACAGTGCCCAAGATCGTTGGCGGTGCCTCGTGCTATCTACGCCTGCGCCTGTCCCTGAGCGATGGCCAGACGAACCTCGCCCGCGAACTCGGTCCCATCAGGTCTGCCATCGTGTCATATGTGTGTGTTGTGCAACATAGTTGCAGCTACTGTCAACGCTCGTTGCGTGTGGTCGGCTGGTTGCTCCTTCGCTTGTTCGTCGTGGTGGTTCTTCCCCCCCCCCATTGTTGTGGTGTTGCTGGGTTTCTTTCTGTGCAGGAGCAGTGAATGCTCGCCTTCAGTGCACATGCGTGCACGTGCAGCTGCCGGGCCTAAACCATGGTCTATTCGCGCCCCTCACCACACACACACACACACACACACACACACACACACACACACACACACACACGCACATACGCTCTTTCACAACATTTGCAGCGTGGAGTTTGAGGTGCCCATGTACGTGTGCTCCGGCATCAACCTCCGCTTCCTGCGTGTCACGGAACGCGGTCGCGCATACACCCCATTCCGCTGGGTCCGCTACATCACATTCAGCGACTCGTACGTGTTTCGGCAGTCGTAGCTTGTCCTTGCCACACTTCCTGAACGGGCAACCAGCAGCAGCTAAGCCCCACCCCACCCACACCCCCCCCCCCACACGCACACACGCTTCCGTGCATATTCGCATGCCCTGCTGTTCTGTTTCTTTGTTCTCTTTTCCATTACTTTCTTTCTCTTTTTGCCTGAGTTCGCATCTCAAAGTAACATACATAGCCGTGCAACAGCCAGTCACAATACCGCTCTTCTTTGAAAGGGAGGCTTGCTTTGTCTCCCCACTTTGATCTCGCTTGCTTCTTGGATTTTGTTGGTTGTTGGTTGTTGGTTGTTGGTTGGTTGGTTGGTGATGTGGTCTGAGTTGTAAAACAAGCAGCTGGGAACGAGCTTACAGTTACAGTTAGTTGCTTGCTTGCTTGCTTGTCAGTCACGTCGTGGCGCCGCTCAGATGATGCTCACTTTCAGCAATACTTTTTCCCACGACTTAATGCTGGATTGTGGTTCGCAACCGGCACGAGCTGTCACGACCAGACACCCATTGTCGGTTCCTTACGCAATTCGCCACCATGACGTCATTTTCAAATGAGCAAAATAGTCTGCAGCAAAACACCGCGTGAAATCTTTCTTTCAAGACAAGCCGTGCACAGCCTCACCCCATCTGTTCGTAGGCAAGAAGACGAACGGAGGAGCAACACGCACCAAAAGGCAGACCGTTGGTATTCGGCAGCATCACACAAACCCGCACACTCACATACGCCTCTCTTGCCTACCCACACACACACACACACACTTCGAGGTACACAAAGTTTGTTTGTGTCGCGGTCAACCAGCCATCAGCAAGACAACCCGTATATCTCTTCCTTTACGCCTCCGCCTACGCGTCACCTCACCCTCAGGATGTACGGCTTGCTGCACAAGGTGAAGAGAGTGGGGTGTTGCAACGTTGGGCGTACATGGATGGATGGCGTCATGAATGTTGTGTGTCTTGTCAAAGAGGATCACCTGCCTACTTGCATGTTTACGGGCTTGCACGTCGCAGTTGCCTTGTGATTGCCATGCATGCGAAAGAAGGGGCGCGCTGATAGGTCGATGTGGACGTGCACATGTCACCGTGCACATGCACACAGCTCCACATGCATGTCTTCATGCACATTCATGCACTCAGCACCTTCAGCACGTACACGAGCATTTGGCGCCAAAATATGCCACGCCACACGCATCAACACACACACACACATCCACACATCAACACATCAATACATCTACATACATTCATCAAGATACATCAACTCTCGCGTTTCATGCTGACAACTCAACCACTCCCTGCCACTATTCATGCTCGTGTGTTTGTGATGCCAGGCCCTCACCAGCTGGGTGGAATCCCTGCCCGATGGAGATGAGCTCTTGCAAGAGATTATGAAAGTGATCAACTTCTCCGGCCACCCGGACGACTTCTTCCGTTACTACTCTGACGAGCAAACCGCCCTGTTCCTCAGCACCGTTGCAAAGGTACACACAATCGTACCCCTCTTCACTCTGTGTGGTGTTGCCACTGGTTGCTCGGCCTTGGCATGCTTGGGCATCACTTTATGCCAACGTGAAGCAACATCTTTGCTTTTGTGTGTGTGTGTGTCTGTATGTGTGTGTGTGTGTGTCTGTATGTATGTGTGTGTGTGTGTGCGTGTGTTTCTGCGGTGCTGCAACAGCTTTCTCCTGGTTCACAAACGAATCTTCGCCTCCTCTCTACCTCTCTGCCCTGTCTTGTTTCCCTCTTGCGCCTTTGAACGATCACCACCGTCCATGTGCCTGTGTTGGCGCCCAGATCACTGGCCGCTCGGAGGAGGACTGCAAGTATGAGGCGGGCGGGTTCTTCCTTACCGGTATCCTGGAGAGCGGCTATGGCCATGCCTTGCGCACCCTGGGCGATGACTTCTTCACTATGCTGCAAAACCTCGACAGCCTCCACGAGTCGTTTCTTCCGTCCTTCCCCAAGATGCGCACGCCCTCCATCCGGCCGACCCGCAACCCAGACGGCACCATGACCATCCACTACTACTCTGACAGCGTTGGCCTTGCGCCCTTCATGATGGGTGCCCTCAAGGCGTGTGCCCTCCGCATCTATGACCTCGACATTGACATCCGCCATCGAACAAAGAAGGGCGCTGGAGACAACCACGACGTGTTCCACGTTTTCATGGACCCAAGGTGCTACTTCTGTGCACAATGTGTTTATGTGTAAGAGGGGGGGGGGAGGAGAGAGAGGGTGTGTGTGTGAACGTGTCTGTGGGTGTAGATGCACACAACTGTGTGCATGTGCGTGTCTGTATCACAATGCTTATGGTTCTCCCGAACAAGAACAACTGGTACAATCACCACCACCACCACCACCATTACCATCACCATCATCATCATCATCATCATCATCATCATCATCATCATCATCATCATCATCATCATCATCATCATCATCATCATCATGTCGCCCTGCTCCCCACTTTGTTCTTGCGCCCATTCTCACTCACGCATGTGTGTACCTGCATCAACCCAACAACAACCACAACAACCGCCACTGCCGCCATGGACAAGGGGATTTGGCATTGAGAAGGAAGTCGACGAGACAGTCAACAACATGTGCAACCTGACACTGTCGGGATCGCTCACCAACGACCTGTTTCCATGGCACTTTGCTGTCGGCCGTGACCTCAACGTCACGTCTGTCGGGAAACACCTTGGCAGCCGGCTGAAGGAGCCGCCCGTTGGTCGCCCCGCAAAGGCCATCTTCAAGATTGTCAACCCGGTGGACGTCACGTTTGACTTTGAGACGCTCGCCTCCCTCGACGGCGTGTCGTGCCTCTTCAAGATCGACGTGAAGCATCTCCGTGACCCGGCGTTTGCAACCGCAGGCACACCCGGCTCCGTGCACAGCGTGTCCCTCGGCGCCGCCTCGCACACAAGCAGCCAGCGCGCAGACGCTTGCCCCTTCTCGGGCAACTCCTCCATGGCATCGTCCAACATGTCCTCCAAGCGGTCCTCTGCGCTGAGCTTTGCGTCCCACCGCTTCAACATGCGCGCAGAGCACATCAAGCTGCACGGGCAGGTCACCTACCACGCCGACTCGGACTGCGTCGTGTTCTTCGGCACCCCGGCCCTGCGCTCCCTGGAGGAGATGGAGGCACAGCGCATTGAGCTGTCGGAGATGCCGCTGCACAGTCACGGCCGCGAGTACCTGTACGGCTCCATGTTCCAGTCCGCCTCTGCCAAGAACTCCAACGAGGTGGACAAGAAGCTTGCCGAGCTGGACCAGTCCATGGCAGAGGTGCAACACAAGAAGAAGGAGATTGACTCGCTCCTCCACAGCATCCTCCCACCGGTACAGTTGTGCCTGGGTGTAGTCATATGTGTCTCTGTTTTGTGTGTCGTCGTTGTTGTTGTTGTTGTTGTTGTTGTTGTTGTTGTTGTTGTTGTTGTTGTTGTTATTGTTGTTGTTGTTGTTGTTGTTGTTGTTGTTGTTGTTGTTGTTGTTGTTGTTGTTGTTGTTGTTGTTGTTGTTGTTGTTGTTGTTGTTGTTGTTGTGCGCATGCGCTTCTTCGTGTGTGCGTGTGTTTGCTTGTTGTTGTGTATGCGTTTCTCTGTTTGTACACACACTTCTCGGTGTCAGAGATTGCATGACGCCCTCAAGTCTATGCATCCACGGATTTGTCCCTCGCACTTTCGCGCCTACAAGCACACTCATTCACACACACACACGCACGCGCGCACACGCGCGTACATGCACACATGCACACAGACGGTTGCTGGTTCACTGGCCAGAGGCGAAATCCCTCCTGCAGAGCGCTACCAACACGTGAGTTCAGCATGCACGCAGCACTTCATTCGTCTGTAACATGCTCAGCCATACCAGGGAGTGAAACCCTTTCCCAAAGTAACCCACGCCAGTTCACACCGTGCCTGCCATACATGCACACGCATCCTTGACAGGTGACTGTTCTCTTCAGCGATATTGCCGGTTTCACAAACATTTCTTCGGATGTGCCGGCAACAGAGGTAACTTTGCTCATATCACCCGCGTGTTTTGCAAACTGACCGCATCCAACCTGCCACGCTTCTTCGCACACACGTGATTATCCTTCACATACACACACGCAATACTCGTTCACACACCCACAACCTTCAATGACACACCCGCACGCATACATAGGTGATGGACATGCTACATGAGCTCTTCCTGAAGTTTGATGACCTGGCAGACAAGCACGGCTGCTACAAGGTGGAGACAATTGGCGACGCGTACATGGTGGCTGCCGGCTGCCCGGAGAAGTGTGAGGACCACGCTCTGCGTGTTGCCCGCTTGGCCATTGACATGGTGCGCACGGCACAGTCGGTGCTGTCGCCACTTGACGGCGAGCCGATCCGCATCCGCGTTGGGCTGCACTCTGGCCCGTTGATGGCCGGTGTTGTTGGGCGCGCGCGTCCACGCTACTGTCTGTTTGGCGACACCGTCAACGTCGCCTCGCGCATGGAGAGCAACGGCCTGCCGGGATGCATCCAAACAAGCTACCGCTTCACGCAGGCGCTGCCACCGGACCATCCGTTGGAGATTGTGGCGCGCGGGCACATCGACATCAAGGGCAAAGGCTGCATGAAGACGTTCCTGGTGCTCGGGGCACACGACGACGGCGACCAGGAGCCACTGCTCCCGACGGAGAGCACGTCAGATGATCTTGCGCCAAAGCTGTACGAAATGATGGCTGGCAAGTCCAACGTGGAGGATCGCTTGGCAGAGATCAGCACGAGCGCAACCGCTCTTCGCAACAGGCGAAAGCAGTTGGCACGCTCCCACGTTGTGTAGCGGCTGCTGAGCCCACGAAGTCGGGTGTCAGTGCACGCACGCATTGTCACACACACACACCCATGTGTCTAACGTGAGCTGATTTGTTCGCCTGTTGACAAACAGTGTGTTACTGTCAGCTGCAGCAGCAACAACAACAACAACAACAACAACAACAACAACAACAACAACAACAACAACAACAACGTCATCATCAAATTCATGACCATCACCCTGCTTTTGTCTCAAACACTCCAGTACACCAATCAAGGCAACCTACCCTTGGTCTTTGCATTCTCCATGTGCGCGGCGTTTTGGTTGCCTCATTTCGTTTGATGTTTTGTTCGAGTTGACGTGTGAGCTTTCGGTCTTTACAGATTGTGCACTTCCCTTGCGTCTGAACGGTCGCCTTGCTTGTGACCAGCAGCACATGTTGACATGGGCACGTGCTGTCTGTGCTTCGCTTTCGCCTTCGTAAACAGCAGCTGCAACAACATATAGAGAGCAACCCGGACCATTCGTGGTTCAGTGCTGCACAAAGACAGTGACACGCCAACCCCTTTCATTCATTTACTTCTTCATGCATACGGAGGTGCGTGTAAGCCCACGCACCAGAGAAACAAAACGATGCCAACAACGCAGGTCCACATGTGGGTGATGGGCGAAGAGAAAGTCAAAAGATCACACCGCTAACGTGGCACACACATTGGCATTGGAAGCAAGGAAGTATAAGCAGGCGAGTCCGTTACGTGTCTGAGTGAATCAATCACACTTTGTCCCCACCCCCACCCCCAACCCAAAAAAAAAAAAAAAATCAGAATCCATTGCACAGGGGTCACACTATCACATGCAATACGCATGAACAAAACAGCAAGTCAAACAGAGCTGTTCCCAGCGAATAATATCGCTTGACACGCAGTTATCATGCATGCCATGCCAACTCCAGTTCGTTCCACGTTCTCCTTTCGGCTTCAAGACAAACCAGAACCAACGAGGTGCAGCCCTCCACCACCGCCGCCGTGACCACGGCCACTCCCGATGTTGCTGCTGCTGCTGCCACTGCGTGTGATGCCCCATTGTCGCCGCACCTGCTCATGTGCAGACACAGGCAACGACGTCGACAACACCGCGTTCGGTCTGCGCGCGCCATTGTTGTAATCGCGTGGGTGTGACCGCCGGCTTGGTCCAGGAGACCTGGAACCATAGCGCTGGCTGTTGTACTGGGTGCGGTGCTGTTGCTGTTGCTGCTGCCGGTGTTTTGCTGGTGGTGCCGCCGACTGCGAGCGGACCGGCCCACGCCGGCGCTCGCGTTCGCTGTATGACGGTGACGACGTGTTTGGCGTTGTGGTTGGACGATGGTGACGATGGTGGTTGAAGCGAGGCTGTGGGCGGTGCTGCACACGCGACACGTGCATGCGAGCAGGCGGTGGGGGCTGCGCGGGCGGAGCAGATGCGATGCGCCGCACAGGGCCATGTTGCATCAGCACAGCGTTGAGCCACGGTGCTGGGGAAATCTCTGGGAAGTGGCTCTGTGCGCCGGCCGCTGAAGATGCAGGAGGGGCGATGCCAGCGGGGCGCGAGCGGCGGCGCTGGAGCTGGTGTGAGCGGGTACGCAGCAGCGCACTCATGGACGATGTTGGCGACGGCAGCGACGATGGCGATGATGGCGACGACGGTGACGAGTACGAGGTCGGACGGCTCGGCCCGCCTGAAAACGGGAGAATGTGTGAATGTATGAATGTATGAGTGTGTGGATATATGAGTGTGTGTATGCATGTGTGTGTATGCATGTGTGTATGCATATGTGGGTGCGCATATGTGTGTTCGTGTGTGTTCGTGTCAGCATGTCGCGGCGACACCATCCGCTAGCCTCCAGCAATGACCACTCACTGAGCACGCTGCGGGAGAGAACAGACGATGGGCGGCGACCAGATGAACTGAGCAGTCGAACCGAACTCGGAGGGCGGGATGCCGACGGCGATGGTACACGTTCAGCGAGGGTAAGCACACGGCGGTGCTGCTGCTGCTGCTGCTGCTGCTGCTGCTGCTGCTGCTGCTGTTGTTGTTGTTGTTGTTGTTGTTGTTGTTGTTGTTGTTGTTGTTGTTGTTGTTGTTGTTGTTGTTGGAAAGCAACAGCAGACGCGTCCCGCTCCTGGTCTTTCTCTTCTTGCACGAGTTGCAGCGTGTCTGACCATTTCCACAGCAAGCAGCCAAGATCACCGCACACCAACCCAGATGTTGTGATATGAGCATGGCGATAGACGCATTTGACAACTATGTTGGCATGTCACAGCAACACAGACGACAGCGTCACAAACAAACCTGCGTGATTAGCGTGTGTGGTGCCGTTTTCGTTGCCAGTATTCGACCACGACAACGACGACAACGACGACGACTTCATCGCCCCCACATGGCTCGAGGTTGGTCTGGAGACCTGATACACAGACAAGACACCGTGATTCGCATGCGCGTGAGTCTTGGTCTGTGCCAGTGCAACTGCGCAGCTGTGCGTGTTGATGTCATCATGCCTTGTGGATGACTGCTTTCATGTTGTGCATGTTTGTGAGCATGTGCTTGTGTGTGTATGTGTGCTTGCATGTTTCTGTGTACGCGTGTGTGTGCATGCACATGGCTGGTATGTTCACAGAGGCATCCCACAGACGAATCCCTACCGGCGGCGTTTCCACAACGGCTGGGCACGGGACAACGACGTCGATGAAGCCATCGCCACCACTACGTGCACGTGCACGTGCATTGCTGGCGCCAGGCGAGTAAGAGGAGGAGGGGCGGACGTGCAGTCCGGTGCGCCCTTCGTTGTCATCTGCTCCAAGCATCAGTGGTCGCAAACGGGATGACTGCTGGCGATTGGGCGATGACGGGGATTTCGTGGCTGCTGCAGTTCTGTGCGCATTGGCACTCCTCGCATCATGGCCTTCGACATCTTGCATGCAGGCGTGCGACAACCCGGTCTTGTCGGCGATGGAGCGAGCGCTGGCAGTGCGAGGCCCTTGGGCCGCTCGATGGCTCCCAGGCCGACTGCCAGACGCAAGCGATGCAGTGGAGGTACTGCCAGTGCCAGAGTAACGGGCGGTTGCAGTGGCGGTGGCGGTGGTGATATGTTGAATGGTGAGTGACGGAATATTGTGTGAGCAAATAGCAACTACGAGACACGACGGCTTCAACACATTCAACCACAGCCAACGAAGCGCGCACCCTGTCAAATTTCGATCAGCAACGTGCACACACACACACATACACACACACACACACAAAACACGCACGCACACCCGCACACACACACACACACACACATTCACGCACACACACATTCACGCACACACACACATTCACGCACACACACACACACATTCACGCACACACACGTACACCGCAAACACACATGCACACAGGTACTTCTGTTGACGTACTGCGACATTGGGCGGTGAAGTGCGCGTGCAATGTCAAACGGATCCTCTCTGGGCAACATGTCGTCATCATCATCGTCATCATCGTCATCATTGTAGTCATCATCAATGTCACTTCCCGACTGGCGGCACCCACCACTTGCTGCGCTGCTCACGCTGTTGCTGCGCTGCCGGTGCAGCTTCTTCCGTCCCGCTGTGATGTCAAACGTGAACATGATGTTGGAGAGCTGTCCCGGTGGAAGAGAGTGATCGGGTGCCGTTGTTGGCCGTCTACAGCAACACAAAGGCAGGGCAGGCACGCGTTGGGAGGGTGAGGGGGGTGGTGCTCGCGGAGAAAAAAACGAGCGGATACAGACACACGTGCGTGAGCGCACTGAGTGGGTATTATGTGAGGATGATGAGCAGAAATATGTAAGGATAGGCGAGAGTAGAAATGAAGCGTAACACGTGCACACGAGTGCGATTGTGTCAAGTTGCAACTCACGATGTCGTTCCAGAAAGCGTCGACGAGAGCATGGACACGCGTGCACCACTGGTGGCCGTTCGCTTCACGTCCGCCGCCTTTACAATGTCGTCCTGGCCCGTGTCGTTGTATTGAATGCACACATAGTCCGCATCGGCATCTGCAGCACCACAGCCAGCGCAGGGCACGAATCGGTTGGCTCAGTGGACATGCGAACCCGGACACAACTACCTGCACGCCATGTACGTGCGAGAGGCGCGCGCACACACACACATACATACACACACACGCACACGTACGCATACACACACGTACGCACACACGTACGTACGCTCGCGCAAGCTTGCTAGCTCGAAGCCATTCACCAAAGCACACACGCAACACAAAGCCTCACAGCCACGCTCATGCAAGCACACACATGTGTATCTTACCAGAAAGGGCGGTGATTACAGTGGCCAACTTTCCCTTCACGCGAACAGTTTCGCCAATATCAAACGCCGGCCGCGTGTATGTCTGTGAGTCATGACCTCGGTCCGCATGACTCGAACGCCGCTGCTGCTGCATATCGCCCCTCGAATACCGAGTCTGTTGCTGCTGCTCATGATGATGATGATGATGATGATAATGAGAGTGATGTGCTGGTGTTGGTGTTGTTGTTGGCGATGGCGATGGCGATGGCGGCTGGTTGTGCACGCGCTGCGGCGATGATGGCGCGCTCGGCCCAGCCGAGGCCACACCTAGCCATTCCTCGCGATGTGACGGAATGCGGTGCGCTCTGTGGTTCTCCTGATCATGCTGCTGTTGTCTTGGGGAAACAGGGTGTGACTGTGATTCCGGTGGCTGCTGGTGGTGTTGTTGCTGCTGTTGCTGTGTGCGGGAGTATTGGTTGGGCTTTGTTTTTGGCGTTGTGGGCACGTACTCAATGCAGTCGCGAAGAAACACAAGCGCAGGGTGCAGCTCAGCCTGTGGGCAGGACAGGATTTACAGATCAATTTGGGGGGGGGGGTGGAGAAACACATGGATAAGGGAACGAAGCGGAAACGTCATCACGAAACATGAACCCAAACGCGCAACAACGTACACAAGCACAAACACCAAACGCACACACTCACGCACACACATGCACACGACAACGTACGCACAACCGCGGACATGGACGCGCACACGAGGCACAGCAGTCCATTGCACACTCTTGCACAACCTCTTGTTCGGTGTTGAAGCTGTCGTGATGTGAGTGAAGAAGGGATCGGGCAGCCTCGATTGCGTCATGACGTGATGGCATTGCTGCAGACAGCAAACCAACCACATCTGATATGTGTGGGGGTGTGTGTGTGCGTTGTGTGTTTGTTTGTTTGTTTCGTTGTTTGTGTGTGTGTGTGTGTGAGAGAGAAGGAAGGGGGCAGTATGTTTGTGAATGAGACAAAGAAGGAGAGAGAGAGTGTGTGTGTGTGTGTGAGTGTGTGTGTAAGTGTGTGTGTGTGTGAGTGTGTGTGTGAGTGTGTGTGTGTGTGTGAGTGTGTCAACCAAAACTTCAATTCCAACGCCCCATGTGAATGTCAGTCACTGTGTGAGAAGCCACGCTCAAAGTCTCAGGTACCGGTTTCACCGTCGAGATCCTCATGCAGCAAGTCCATGAGTTCTTGGGTGCGACAGACCAAACTTGCCAATGCAACGGGAATCATGTTGCCAAAATCAACCACGCGGGTGCGGTGCGACACCCTGGGTGTTGGCGCGTGACAACGGACAGCAGGCAGTTAGTGGCGGGTACTGTTGGACGTCAGGGAGAACAGCACGAATGGCCATACGCACCACAACCACACGCTCACATACACACGGGACCGGTCGCCATTTCACCTTAAACTTGACTTGCGCCGATGCGACTCAATATTTCGCAACGGAAGCGCCCTGAGCGAACACGCACGCACGCACGCACACACACACACACACACACACACACACACACACACACACACACACACACACACACACACACACACACACACACAACGTTCGGCGTGAGCACAAAACATGTGTGTGTGTGTGTGTGTGTGTGTGTGGAGCAGGAGCACATGCATGTGTGTGAGGAAGGTGATGCATGACATTTGAGCTGACCTTGAAGGGCAAAACGTATGACGGAGTTGGAGCTGCGCCGTTTGCTCGAGACAATTCACAAACTGTGTGTTCACTTGAACCCCAAACTGTGCAGCGCATTAAAATCACAGAGCAGGCACAACACCAAGTGGAGCGCGCGCGTGTATGTGTGCGTGCGTGCGTGCGTGTGTGTGTGTGTGTGTGTGTGTGTGTGTGTGTGTGTGTGTGTGTGTGTGTGTGTGTGTGTGTGTGTGTGTGTGTGTGTGTGTGTGTGTGTGAAGGAAACCAACGCATTGCGAGTGAGAAGGAGATGTGCTTTTTAAAATGAGCACGCATACATGAATGCACATGCGCACGTGACTTGAGCGTGCGTCTACCACGTCCACAGCCAACACTCACAACCAACACTCACAACCAACGTCCACAACCAACGTCCACAGCCAACACTCACAAACGAACAAGCAAACCAATCACCCAACCAGGCAGCCGCGTGCGACATGGAAGCGTGTGTGCAACAAAACTGCGGTGTTATAAAATCGCACCGTGCGTAGGGCAGCGCAGGTGTGCTTCTCCATGAGCTTGCATGCAGCCGTGAAGATGCAGTTGATAAAGCAGCGAACACGCGGGGGCGCGAAGAAGACGGCCATCACGGGAATGCCACTGCGGTGACCGCGAGCAAGTACAGCAACGCGAATCACGGATGCCGGTGTTGCGGCGGGGTGTGTGTGTGTGTGTGTGTGTGTGTGTGTGTGTGTGTGTGTGTGTGTGTGTGTGTGTGTGTGTGTGTGTGTGTGTGTGTGTGTGTGTGGTTGGAGGTGTATAGTGGGTGTAAGTGGTGGCTGTGAGTGAATTTGGGCGTGGGACATACACGCAACGGGGATTGAACACGCCACCAATTTGATGTGTCCTCGCTCATGGCGTGGCCGTTGCCAGTGATGTGCATCCACAACACACCAACACATGTGTGCTGTGATGCTACGGAGCTCGCACCTGATTGTCTCCAGTCCAGCGCGCTTGAGAACGGCGTGCACGAGACTTGCTGGTAACGCGTAGTCAAATGTGCCCTAATGATGATGATGATGATGATGATGATGATGATGATGATGATGATGATGATGATGATGATGATCGGGTGGAAGAGTGGTGAGCGAGCTGTGCGATAGCGTTTCAGGTACGTCAGTGAAGCCGGGGGCATACGCGTGATACAACGTGTTATGCAAGAGAACGACAATGAAAGTGACACACAGAAGCGCGACTGTGAGCTGTCCCGCACAGAAAGGGACACACGGCACGCAAACACACGTGCACACACACACACACATACCACGAGGATTAACGTAAGGAGGATGAGGTGATCGTACGGGCAGTCATCAAGCAACCGCTGCACCACAAAGCTCTGATGGGGGCGTGTTGGTGGAGGCATACAAAACCGGATGTGAGCGAAGAGATGTGGTGAATGGCTGCTGTTGTTTGTTGCTTGCATTGCAGTCATCCACAACAATTAGGGCATCACAATCACACCTCATGCACACGTAGGACCGCAGCTTCCTGCTGCTGCTGGTAGTGTTGTTGTTGTTGTTGTTGTTGTTGTTGTTGTTGTTGTTGTTGTTGTTGTTGTTGTTGTTGTTGTTGTTGTTGTTGTTGTTGTTGTTGTTGTTGTTGTTGTTGTTGCTGTTGTTTTTCTTCTTTTGCTTCTTCTTCTTTTGCTTCTTCTTCTTCTTCATCTTGTTGGTCTGCGCTGCTCGGTGCGGGACTGTGCTCCGTCTCTGCCTCGCCAGCGTCTGCCGGTGTGCCCATCACCACCATCATGTCATGCAGGTCCTCAGCCATCAGCCGCAGCCGCCGCTGGTCAATATCACGTGTGTGGAAACCGCTCACAGGCAGCTGCCCAAGCAGGTGCACTGCCTACAGGCCAAGGGGAAGGACAGGGACATTGCACGTGTGTCTGGATTAGTTGGAAAGAGAAATGTACAAGGTACGCTGTATACAACAACAGCCATGCCTATACGCATGCACATGCACTTGCAAACACCCAGTGCACCCTTGACCGTGCACAGCAAACACGATCCACGTGAAAATGACATTTTTTCTGTCAACCTTTGCGCCCTGGAGTCGCTGTCGCCGCTGCTGCAGTGCTGTTGTCGGTGTCGGCACCTGAAATGCGTTTGAGACGCAACACCAACATGTTGAAACGCAGCAACAGCACACACATAAGCTTTCATAGGTCGTCGCAGTGTCACACTTGGCATTTGCCTTCCTTACACGAGAGGAAGTGCGCCATGCCATGACGCCTTCACTGCAACCATCTCTGGTCATCACTGACACACACACACACGAAAATAGGAGCGCGTACACACACACGCACGCACGCACACACACACACATACACACACGCGCGCACACATACACACACACACATACACACATGCAAGCACGAGCACATACGCGATGGAGTGCGCGCTGGCGGTCGACGGAAGTAATGAGGCGTCCGTCAAGCATCCACAGATGCGGCAGAAACGCGGCCACGCGCTCCCGGTCTGCAACAAGGCAGCGGCGGCGATGACGGGTGCAGGAATGAGGATGAGGTGGAGGTCATGGGAACATAAAACGGCAATCCAAGAGAGGGAGAGAGAGAGTGTGTGTGTTTGTGTGTGTGTGTGTGTGTGTGTTGCAGGAGCGTCGCTGAGCTGTTTTGAACGCAAACAACGAGTGTGTGCGTGTGTGCGTGCATGGAGGCATAGTGCTTTTGCCAAACAACTTACAGAGGGGATCGCTTTCCACGGGGTTGCCATAGAACATGGCAGACATGATCTGCACATCATGCAGCTTTGCCAGGCTATCAAACGTCAACTGGTTGCCGGGCAGCACCACATATCCCAAGCACCCGTACGCAGCGAGCCCGTCCACATCTTGCAGCTGGCACGATCGATTCGTTGAAGCGAGGAATTCGGGGTGTGGGATTGCAAGCATGTGAGGCTTTGCGCATGTCACACAACACATCCCGAACAGCAGGTCTGACACACGCACACGCACACACACACACGCACACACACATACACACACACACGCACGCACGCACGTACTTGGTTGTTGCTAAGGTCAATGTACCACAGGTTTGCACAGGGGAGGGAGGGCACGTGTCGGATGAGGTTGTCGCGGAGAATGAGGCGCTCCAGATCAGGGTAAGCGGCCAGCTTGTCAATGGTACCTATGCCACCGAACGCAGGAGAGCGAGTGTTGGTGAGCAGCGTGTCACATGTGACATGGCAGCGAACAATTAGCAATGTGGTACCCTTCACATCACATCACATCACATCACATCACATCACATGCCACATCACATCACATCACACCCTTCAGCCACACGCGATGCCAGGAGCACATGAGCTGACCCAAGTTCTTGTGGGGGCAGAAGATGTCCTTCTTTCTCCCGCCTCGCGTTCGCTCGCCCTCAGCGAGGATCTGGCACATACACGATACATGAGCCGTGAATCAGCAACACGAAGCCAAAGGGACACACACGCACACGCACAAACGCACACACACACACACAAAGTACGAGCCTGTTCACACACACACACATAAAGTACGTGCACACACACACACACACACACACACACACACACACACACACACACACACACACACACACACACACACACACACACACACACACACACACACACAGGCTCACCTTCCGCGACATGCGCACGCTCATGGCGACGAAGGTGCTTGTGTTCTCTTGTGCGTCGCCTGGGTGTGCCTCAGCCCTTCACAGCAGCTGTTTGCTTGCATGCCCTGCACCACACAACACCACACGACACCACACACACACACACACACACACGCACACACGATCCCCAACACCACTGCAATCAAGGTCTCCTCTTGTTGTTTCCTTCTGCTCTTCTCTCTTTTGTTTTTTCCTCGCGATTGACAACAAACGAATTGGAAGGACTGTGTAGCACACACGCCCGTTGCGCGCACGCTTTGGCATGGCTCACGTCTCGCTGCTGCTTGTTGCCGGTGGTGGGGGTGACAATTGGCAGGAAGGAGACGGTGTTGGAGGGTATGATGTGCAGTGCAGGGAGTGCATGATGCCGGCGATGCAGCTGAGCGCGGAACAGGGCGGAGAAGGGGAAGAAGAAGAACAAGGCAGAGAGAAGGAGAAGGAGAGCGTTGCGGATGAACAAGAGGACGAAGTGTCGCCTGCGAAACCACATGTGACCATCACGCCCATACTGGGCTGCAGACACGGGCCGGCGTCAATTGCAGGGCACGTCATGCTTGCAGATCACACCAGGGTCGCTGCTGCCAGCAGCAGCGGTGGCATTGCCTCTCAGGCCGAAGAGGCACATGCAGTTTCAGACCGCCGCTTACACCGACAGCACGTCCTCTTACTGGGCTGTCCACCAAACCAACCTCCGTGAGTGAGTGAGAGTGTGAGTGAGTGTGTGAGTGAGTGAGTGAGTGAGTGAGTGTGTGTGTGTGTGTGTGTGTGTGTGTGTTGGGGGGTTCTGCTGTGTCTACGCTTGCATGGATGCAGGGACAGATGCACATGTACTCGTGCTGCTGTGCTGTTGTGCTGTTGCATTTTGTGTTTGCCTTCCCACACTCAACCTCACCAGTCATCATGCGAACCATCCCCTGCATCCACACGTTCTTAGGGAGAAGTACCTTCAGTTCCTGGGCCCAATTGAGTGTCAACTCCACTCTGTGACCTTGCTTCAGTTCAGCAACGCACCAACACAGTCCCCAAACGCAGTGGTGAGCCAACCAGTTGTATTCGCGTGGCGTTGTCTTGCGAACATTCACTCAGTCATGTTTGCACACACTCACGCGTGCATGCGTCTCCTTCCCTTCACGCAACCGTTTGCTGACATTGCCAATCCTGGACTATTACCCCCCCCCCCTCTGCAGATCATCCTCAGTCTTGACGGTGCTGCTGCGTGCAAGGACATCTGTGACACTTACACGGGCCAGAGTTTCCCCGGCGCTGATGCCCGCTACGTCTGCCTCTGCTTGCCAATGATCAACTGCGTGAGTCTCGCAGCGAATGTGTGTGTGTCTGTGTTTGTGTGTGTCTGTGTGTGTGTGTGTCATGTACAACTAGGGTTATCCCAACCAGCACTTTGCTCATCGCTGTACGGTGATGTGCTTGTCGTTTCCAGATGCTCGTGCGCGATGTGGATGTTCCTGTGATTGCGCGAGAGAGCAGTTTGCGGGCTGTCCTCCCCGGTGCCCTCCCCTGCTTGCTCCTCCTCGACGAACCCGTGGCACACATCGTCCCAACCATGGTGTGTGTGTGTGTGTGTGTGTGTGTGTGTGTGTGTGTGTGTGTGTGTGCGTGTGTCTGTGTGTATGTATGTGTGTGTGCGCGTGTGTGTGTGTGTGTGTGTGTGTGTGTGTGTGTGTGTGTGTGTGTGTGTGTGTGTGTGTGTGTGTGTGCGTGCTGCGTTTTTAGCTTGAGCACCCAGATGTACTGCTCCCAAACGCTCAACACCTTCCCGTTCTCCTTCTTTCCACCACACACGCGCTACGCACTTGACCTACATGGCCGTTTGCATCACGCCAGTACCGCGAGAGAAGAGACGCAGCGCTCGGTGACGGCACTGCCAGCCCGGTCGCATGCATTGATCCAGCCGCTTCAACCATGTGTGTGTGTGTGTGTGTGTGTGTGTGTGTGTGTGTGTGTGCATTGCACCGGGTTTGTCGCGTATATTGGACGCAGATGTTCGCATACAACCACACATGCACACACACGCTGTAGTCTCACATCAGCAACTGCCTTGTTCTGAACGCGCGTGTTACATGGCAGCTCACCCGTGTGCGAGGTGTGCAAGGAAGGCCAAGGCGTGTGCATGTGCTTGCTGTGCGGTCGCTATTTCTGCGGTCGAACCAAAAACGCGCACACCGTCACCCACTTCAAACACACCGACGCACTGCATCGATTCGCGTTGGAGGTGGGTGAAGACGGAGACGAAGAAAGCACAAGCGCCCACTTGTCATCGCGCCAGCCTATCACTTGCATCCTTGATCTGTTGCCTCAGCCCTCAACGGCTGCCTGTCGCTGCACTCCTTCCATTGCACACCACCGCAACAGCTCGAAAACGGGCGAATCTGGGACTTTAGTGGTGATCGCTACGTGCACTACTTGCCAGGCGGTGGTGGCACGTCCGGCAGTGTGTGTGTGTGTGTGTGTGTGTGTGTGTGTGTGTGTGTGTATGTGTGTGTGTGTGTGTGTGTGTGTGTGTGTGTTGTCGGGAGGAAACGATCATGCCTTGTTTGCACGGTGTATCATTTCACGCTCTCAGCTGCCCCACAACCGTATCGGGCCCCTGCTGGCGCGTATTCAGTGCGAGGCGGTGCAGGACAAGCAGAAGCAAGAGGCACTGCTTGATGATTACGTGTCGCTGCTCTCTGTCCAGCTCTCAACGCAACGCGAGTTCTACATTGGCCGCATCGATCGTCTTCACAGGCACCTCGACACCGGCGTACGTGGTCACCACTGCACACGCCATTCTGTCCCGAGCACACGCATTCAACACGCGCACTCCTGAGAATGAGAATGCGCCTTTGTTCTTGATTTGATTGATCACTCGCACACTCCCACGCACATTCACTCACACACACTGCCAAACACACTCCCACGCACACTCCCGCTTTTTTTCTCCCACCCACGCTCCCACACACGCTCCCACACACGCTCCCACACAATTACAGTCGCGCGAGCTTCAGCAGGACATTTCGCAGATGAACGCCATGATCGCGTCTGTGTCGTCGCAACTGCAAGCGCTGCAGCACCAGGAAAAGAACATGGAGGCAGAAGTGGATGCCCTCACGGAGACATTTGGCCAAGAAATGAGCAAACTCACTGCCCTCAAGAAGGTGCGCGCATGTTTGGTGTGTGTGTGTGTTTGTCTGTGTCTGTGTGTTTGTTTGTCTGTGTGTGTCTGTGTGCATTTGTGTGCATTGGACCTGACTCATGCACGCATTGGGCGATTGCTTGAATGTCCCTAGGAGCGCCAGCAATTGCAGGCTGAGCGAGAGGCAGCCGGTGCGCGCGTGTCGCAGGAACGCACCTCCACCAACGTCAGCATTGCGCAACTAAAACGTGATATTGAAGCAACAAAGGCAGAAATCTCAGACTTGCAAATGCACCTTCGTCAAGTAAGTGTGTGTGTGTGTGGGGGGGGGGCTTTGGTTTGCAATTACCCAAGCACGGGTCTGATTCATTGCTGCCTGCCTCCACTTCTCCTCCACTGCAGTCGAAAGCGTTTGCGCAGACGGGCGTGGATGGCTCTGCCTCCGCACTGCTCATCACCCAGGAGCAACGCAGGTCGTCTTCGTCGTCTTCATCCTCATCGTCGTCGTCAAAATCACGGCACAGGCGACGGCGGTAATGGACACATGCACACATCCGCACGTGCGTGAGTTCGTTTTGTCTGCGCGATTGTGATCACGACCATTGGCTCTTCGCTGTGGGCTGGACATTAAAAATTGCAATGTCGGTTTATGGATTCGTCGATACAGTTCCATTAGCAAGAGGGAAGCACATGAACTTTTCGCCAAACCAGCGCGCGGCAGTAAAATAGACACAGAGATGCAACAAAGAGAGTGTGTGCGTGTGTGTGTGTGTGTGTGTGTGTGTGTGTGTGTGTGTGTGTGTGTGTGTGTGTGTGTGTGTGTGTGTGTGTGTGTGTGTGTGTGCAATGTGTGCGGATGTGTGTGCATGCGCGCAATTTACGCGTGCAACACAGTCACCTGAGCAGACGCCTGAAGAATGGAACAGACACTTCGACCAAACTCTCCACCATGATCCCAAGGGCATCCGCGTAGAACGTGTATTCCTTGTTCTGCACATTGGACAATGAAACCAGCATGACGGTGAATACCAAGCTGACACACACACACACACACATACTTGTGCGCGCACAACGCCATGACATCAAGCAGCGTGCCGTTTGCACACGCACACACGCACACGCACACGACACACACGCACAGGCACACGACACACACGCAAGCACTTCGTACGTCGCGGTTAAAGACGCGGCAGTTGATCGAGATGCGAGCGACATCCAGCAGAAATGGGCTCCAACGCGTGTACTTGCGGCCCCGCAGCTTCTTGTCAATCGTCTCAAAGTCTGCATGTGTGTGTGCGTGTGTCAGAGGTTGTGCGTGCATGTGTGAGGGACAGGTGATGCAGGCCAAGAACCGGTTGCACCAAACGCACTCGCCAACAAAGCCACTTCTGCTTCCATCCTCCCACGCACATCGTGAGCACACTGCCAGCGCGCCCAAAGCGTCAACATAAACATAGACATATACTCACACACCCACACACGTGCACGCGCACACCAGCGTACACACCCATGGGTTCCTTGATTAATTGTAGATACGCGACGCGGGCATCTGGGGCCAGCAGCGACACGACCGGTGGTCCAAACACTTCCAGCAGAGACACCTGCCTCGTGCTTTCATGCTTCACCTTCCTCTCCTGCACACAAAGCACGCACGTGTGTGCACTCGAGCGATGAGCAAACGGCACATCACTCAAAGATACATCAACAACACCAAAGCCAAACTTTGGCTGGATCAACCAAGAACGCCACCACTACCACCACAACCACCACCACAACCACAACTGCCACAACTACCACCAACACCACCACCACAAACCTTCATCTTGGTCATGGCAATGCGCAGCCACTCGTAGTCAATCGGTATTTGTGCATCACATTTGTCGCAGAAAAACGCCGGCTGCGTGTTGCATCGTGCAGCGGCGAGTTGCACATCCAGAATGCACAAAGGTGAGGGGTTCGCGGTTCACTGGCAGCAATACACAGCTGCTCCGCGCAGCATAACACTTACATCACAGTCTCCCACGCACGCAAAAAGCACACACACACACATGCCCTCAAGCATCGAATGTACACAAACACCAACACCTCACACGCCCAGTGAACAGCTACTGACCATATTGGCAAAGAACACGCCAACGCTGCAGTCTGTGTGGTACCACTTATCGCACAAGGAGCACGCAATGTAGTTTCTGTTGTGAAGCATGCATGCGCAGTGAAGCAAGTCAATGGCGTATTGGCGCAATGTGAGGAAACAGCACGCGCTGCACGTGATGTGGTAGATGGTGTTCGCCACAAGGGCTGGTGGGCCAGTGCATGTTGAAAATGCATGCACGGCCTGCGTATGTCCCGCAAGCGAGTACACACCCTGCTTCGGAGTAGCGAGCGGCCTCGCCAAGCTTGCACGCGTCGCTGCAGTACGGCGGCCCCGTCCCCGGCAGCGACGGCTGCTGCTCGCGCTCGTACAGCAGGCGGGCACCCTCGTTCACTGCACAACGCGTGTGCACGTGTGTGAGCAAGCATGCGTGGGGGGGGGGGTGAGGAACGTGCTGGAGTAAGTGGAGGACAGAGAACGAAAAAGAGAGAGAGGGGGGGAGGGAGAGAGAGAGAGAGAGAGAGAGAGAGAGAGAGACAGACAGACAGACAGACAGAGAGAGACAGACAGACAGAGAGAGAGAGAGAGACAGAGAGAGAGAGAGAGAGAGAGAGACACAGAGAGAGAGAGAGGCACAGAGAGAGAGAGACACACAGAGAGAGAGAGAGAGAAATAAAGGTCACGTTACACACACACACACACCAATCATCTGGGGCGACATTGGCTTCAGCTTCTTGTTCAGCTCAGCTGCGGAAAGCAAACAACAAAATGACATCCACACAACCCCCATCATTCATCAGTGTGTGCGCTTATCACGGAGACACATGCAATCCCACATGAAATCCACACGCATGCACGTACATGTACACATGCACCTGCTAGCTCATGCACGACGAGCTTGTTTGAAGCTCAAATCAGTTCGCCAACCCATCTGACACACATACCCAAACATACACACACTCACCCACCCACACACACACACACTCACCCACTCACACACACATCAACACACATATCAACACACTACACAGGTACACGCGTACACATGCGTACCGAAGACGGAGCGTGCGTGCGCGTGGCGGGGCGCCTTGGGCGTGGACCCTGCAGATGCGCTTGTGCTCCCCCTTGTGCTGCCTCGGTCTCGTGCCGCCTTCCTCTGCTTGCCCTCCGATGCGCGGGGTGCAGCTGCGTCTGCTGTCTTGCTTCGCTTTGCTGGCGACGCCACGGCCTTTCCGTGCGCCACTCCCTGCTTGCTCTCGCGCCGGCTCTTGCTGCTGCGATCAGGGACCAAAGCAGACGCCTTGACATGTGGCTTTGGCTTTGGCGACGGCGACGGCTTGGGAGCAGGCGCCTTTTTCTTCGACTTCTCTTTGGCTGCTGCTGATGACGACGCTGGTACTACGGGTTGCGGGGTGAGGGTGGGCTGAGCTGGTGTCAGCATTGGCAACGCCGACCCCTCCCTCTTCTTTCCTTTCTCCACCTTCTTCTCCTCCTTGACCTTCGTGGCATCCTTCGCCTCCTTCGCCTTGTCCTTCCTCTCTTGCTTCTTCGCTTCAGTCACGCTTGCTGCTGGCTTCTCCCCACCCACGGCCTTCCCGCCAAATTTGATGCTCAGCTTGAGCTTCTGCGGCGCCGCTGCTGCTGCCGTTGCTGTTGTCTTTGTCTCCTTTGTCTTCGCAGGGGCAGACAAAGGCACAGCGGGTGTCACTGCCTCCTCCTTTGTGCGGGCTGGCGACGCTGCGGATGGTCGCTGCTGCGGCAATTTGGCTGTTGGCCGCGCAACACCACTGCCTGCTGCTGGCGTGGCGGGGCTCGCACGTGCCCGCGGCGGTGATTCGGACGCCGCTCCGGGGGCAGACGCCGAGGTCGACGACGATGACGGTGCTGGTGCGGTGCTGGCGGCTGCATGTGACAGCGCGGCAGGGGATGCTGTCTTTGCTCGCTTCGTTGGTCGCTCCCCGTCGCCTGACGCCCTCCGCGCTGCTGGAGACGCCTTTGGCTGCGATGACGGTGACGGTGCGGCAGCAAGCTTCATCTTGAGCGGAGCTCGCGACTCCGCAGCCTTGACAGGTTTGGCCGTGGGGGTGGCTGCTTTCGATGCTGTTTTCGATGCTGTTGTGGCTGCTGTGGCGCTGGCCGCACCCCTGTCTTTGCCTTTGCTTTGGCTGGTTGATGCTGGCGGCACAGCGGCTGGCGACTTTGTGCGGCTCTTGTCTGCAGGCGTCGGGGTGGCGGTTTTGCTTGCGCGCGTTGAGGAGCGGCCAGGTTTGCTCGTCTTCGTCTTGGACGGCTTGTGGTGCGGCGCGGGCTCCGTGGCGCGTGTGGGGCGTGGCGGCGAGAGCGGGACGGGTACAAACTCGGCAGGTGCATCGTACGCCGGGTTGTCTTCGATTGTCGGCGGCAGCGCAACGCCGTCCTCAATCTGAACCAAGGAGGTTACGTGTTGTGGTGTGTTGTGTTGTGTTGTGTTGTGTTGTGTTGTGTTGTGTTGTGTTGTGTTGTGTTGTGTGCAGGGGAAAGGTGAGAAGAGGGAGGGGCATGCGATTGTGTGAGGTGATGCCAGCGAGAGATGCGAAACAAGGCTTGCAGGACACACAGGTAGCTGTCAGGTACACGACTGGTGGTTGATACCTTGACGCCCTCGTCTTCGAGCGACCGAAAGAAGTCATCAAATTCGTCAGACGGCTTCGTTGTGGCTGTTGTACTTGTGGTGGTGGCTGCGGTGGTTGCAGCCGCCGGCTCCTGCGCTTCATGTGCGGCCGGTCGTGTTGTTGCTTCTTCTTCTTCTCCTTCTCCTTCTTGTTCTCCTCCTCCTCCTCCTCCTCCTCCTCCTCCTCTTCCTCCTCCCGCCGTCACTGCTGCTGCTGCATGCTGTGGTTGGCGCTTCCCGCCCTCTGTTGCCTCTGCTGTTGGTATTCTGTGCTCCTCCCTCACGTCCATCTGTGTTGCTGCTGATGGTGGCGGGGATGCACGCTGCACTGCTGCTGCTGTTTTGTCTGCCTCTGCTGTTGCCGTCTTTTCTTTGTCTGATTCCTCACCCGCTGCTGAGGGTTCGGGCGATTTGGAGGACTTTGCGCTGTCTGTTGTGTGTGGGAGCGGCGGCAGGTGGGCTGGTGCTGCGCCATGATATTGGGGGAGGTCACATGTCATGTGCGAAAAGGCGTGAAGTTTGGGGTGTGAGAGACGAACACCTTGACTGGGCAGAGCGTACACGAACTGCATGAATGGGCCTATGTGTGTGGATGCGTGGGGCGAGAGAGAGAGAGAGAGAAAGAAAGACAGAGAGAGAGAGAGAGAAAGAGAAAGAGAGAGGAGGGAGGGAGGGGCGAGACAGGGCAAGATAGAGACAGGGAGAGAGAGAGAGAGAAAGAAAGAAAGAGAGAGAGAGAGAGAAAGAGAAAGAGAGAGGATGGAGGGAGGGGCGAGAGAGAGAGAGAGAGCGAGGTAGACAGGCAGACAGACAGATAGGCAGACAGGGGGGAGAGGAGAGATAGACGGACAGACAAAGAGGGAGCCACACACACACACACACACACACACACACACACACACACACACACACACACACACACACACACACACACACACACACACACACACACACACACACACACACACACACACACACACACACACACGCCCACACACGACACATACACAGACAGATCTCGTGTGGGTTGTGCGAACGACAAGGACAGTGGCAGGGGTTTGCACTGATGCCAGCACAGAACACATGTTGGTGCTTGTTCATACGTGGTGTGTTGCGGAGTTGGGGAGTTGGTGTTGTCGAGACTAAAGCAGACGGAGGTGTTGTTATTCTGGAATCATGCGTGTGTGCACGTGCGTTTGATGGAGGGGAAGAGGAGTGAGGTACAGGCACCAGAGCGCACGACCGTTGCACAAAGACGCCATTCCCCTGCACAAAGGCATCAAAGCACCAAAAACACACAAACAAAAATGTATCCAACACACACGCGCGTCCACACATTGAGTGTCTGACCTTGTGTGGGGATTAGGTTTTGGCATGTGCAGGAAGACGCGCTCATTGGGTTGCGGGAAGTTCCTGAGCTTGACGCGCATGTTCAAGGAGGACCACATGATGGGTGATTGGATCGTCATCAGTCGGGGAGGAGGAACATGAAACCGGGTGCGTGTTTTGTGATGTGCGCTTGCGAGTGGTGTGTGCATGCGCGTGTGTGCGTGTGTGTGCATGCGTGTGTATGTGCATGTATGTATGTGTGTATGTAGAATGGGGTTTTACATGTGCATGTGGAGCGCCATCAAGCGCGCAGGTGCGAAGAACTTACCGCCTCCTTCCCTGTTTTAGTTCTTCGAACTTCGAGGAGGAACCAATTAAGGCTGGTTGGATTAACGTTGACACTCTCCATGGCCGCATCGACATCGTCCGCGTTGATTTCATGTCTCCCCTCTGCAACCGAGCGCGCGAGACAAGCGTTGTGGGTGGGAGACGAGGTGCATGCACGTACGTGCGTGTGCGTTAGAATGGACACGATCAACGGCCCCTTTTGGAAAAGCGACTGCAAACTCCCACATACACACAGGTGGACACAGACACACACACACACATATACACGCATACACACACACACAAATCCACAAACACACACGCACACACGCACCTTCGTTGGCGTTTCCGAGGGCGTTGATGGCCATTTGTCGGATAAAGGCCTGGGCAACTGATGCCAGTTGCTCTGTGGCGTTCTGCTCGGCATGTTTGAAGCCCGCCTTCTTCGCAATGGCTGTCACCGCAGCCCGCGTCGCCTTGTGGTACACCTGCTCGTCCATCCGGGCACCACCAACCAATATGACAGCAAGTGCGACGAGCGAGGGGGAGAAAATGCATGGATTGGGCGAGCCGCTCTTGGTGATATTTTGCGAATAATTTTGCATACTTATCTCCAAAGAATTGTGGTGTCGCAGCAGCCTTGTTCGCTGTTTTCTCTTGTTTTGTTGGTTGGTCCTTCCACTCACACCACAACAGCACCACCCGCACCTTCGCACGTCCAAGGCATGCCTCATCTTGTGTGTGCTGCTCATTTCCTCGCAGTTGTTGCTGTGGTGGCACTGGCGCTGTCGACGGCACGCTGTGGTGGTTACGACAGCAATGACGCAACGTCCTCTTCTCCCTCATGGATTCACACTGCCTCCCAACAAAGTGCACCCGACAGCACCGCGACGCCGTCACAGCGTCCTACCCATCGCCAAAGCGGTTGGACCGCTTTCGTTGGCTGCACATCCCCAAAACAGGTGCATGGGAGACAATGGAAGGGAAGAGAACATCTTGCACAACTTGCTGCACGCTCTCCGAAAGGAGGGCATACCCTTGCTTTCCCTTTTCGTGGGCTTTGTTGCGGTTAGGAGGTTGCTGCCTCCTTCAGCTCCGTTTCACTGTTTCAACTCTTCAAGTCTTCACCCGAGCTGCACCTCCACAACTCTGTGCCTGCAGGCACGTCCTTTGCAGCGACCTTGTACAGCTATGCATGCCCGCAGCTACCTCGAAGTGAGAAACAACACACCCCTTGTAAATTGGGATCGATGGGTCGACCTGTCGTGTTCTTGCAGGAGCGGTGTTTGTTGTGTAGTTGCCAGTGGTTTTTGATGAGGGTATTGCAACTGATGGCATAGCTGCCTCTTAAGTCTTGAACCTCGACTTTGTGACTTGCTCTTTGTTGGAACGGGGTCGCAGATGTATCGCTGGCGCTACCGCCTGGACTGCGTGGAAGTCTCGTACAAACGTTTGAGCAGCTGTATCCCTTTGAGCAATCTTCTTGCAACGGCAGTCAATGGATTGGCAAACGCGCTGGCCACTCCCCCATCACCCCAAAAGAACTCCGCACTGGCGAGACGCGGTCAGTGGTGTGTGTGTGTGTGTGTGTGTGTGTCTGTGTGTGTGTCTGTGTGTATCTGTGTGCTTGTGTGTGTGTATGCTTGACTGGATGGATATGACTGAACTTGGGCCATTCGGCTAGATGTGTGGCGATCTCTTTGTTGTTGTTGGTTCATCCTTTCTTTTTGGATTGGCTTTCCTGAGTTCCTGTGTCGCTGCTTCGTTGCTGGCCGACCCACATTTCCTCCTCCTCCTCCTCCTCCTCGTCCTTGTCCTCCTCCTCCTCGTCCTCCTCCTCCTCATCATCATCATCATCATCATCATCATCATCATCATCATCATCATCATCATCATCATCATCATCATCATCATCATCATCATCATCATCATCATCATCATCATCATCATCACACACACACACACACACACACACACACACACACACACACACACACACACACACACACACACACACACACACACACAGGGTGGAGGACATTGTGACCATGGTGCGGGACCCGAGGCTTCGGCTGTGGAGTGCATATCGGTACGGGAAGCACGCGCACGGCATGCTACAGCCGGAGTGGGAGCGAATGGATGCAGAGACGCACAGCGTGCGCGAGTTTGCTCGGTGGCCAGGCGTTGCCGGCTGCCAGGTGAAGATGCTCACGGGCCACGTGTGCGCTTCTCGCGTGGACGTGACAGACGCCCTGACCGACGAGGCAATACGGGTGATGCAGGCGGCTGCATTCGTCGGCATCACGGAGCTCTGGGGGGAGTCCATCTGCCTGTTCCACGCCAAGTTTGGTGGGCGCGTGCACGATGCGCAGTTTGTCAACCTGCGCAACACGACCACCTTCCAGCGCGTGCTCCCGCGCCGCCCGCCACGCGCACACAGGCTCACACCCGAGGACGATCCGCACGACTGGCGCCTCTTCCAAGCCGCCATGCAGCGCTTCCGGCGAGACCAGCTCACATACGCCGTCCCCGTGCCCAGAGGGACATGAGCAGGGGACTCTAGGACTAGAGGAGGTTGTTATCACAAGAAGGAAAGTTCAGTGTTAATGTGTCAATGTATGGCGCGGAGGGCTGGAGGGAGAAAGGCTGAAGGGCTCGAGGAGGCTTGGGGAACCTGGGAACGAAGAAGGAAGCCATAGCTCAGCTGTGCGCTCCTGCATGCAGCGCAAAAGAAGCATATTCCTTGTCTCTCTGTTCATTAGACTGTTAGACAGTGAGAGCCTGCTAGTAGCCTGACCCAGTGACCTCTCCTTTAGAGGCTTGGGATTTGCTTGGAAGGTGGTGGGGTCGGAGTGCTGAAGTGGATGAACAGCAGAAAGCGCAATTTAGCTTGCTTCAAGGCAACAAAACCAACAATGATGAGAAAAGCGGGTGCTTTGGCGCTGGTGACGGCGCTGGTGGTGTGCTTGGCACCTGCCGCTGTGGAGGCGATGCACCGGGCGTGTGTGCCTCGTGGGACCAAGCTGAAGACGTCCAAGGGCGACTTTTGTGTGTGCAAGCCCGAGTACAAGCCGCGTGGACTGCAGATTCTGCAGTTCTACAACAACAATCAGCCATCCGGGCGTGGGTTCAACCCCACTTGCTGCAAGCACTGCTACTGCGCCACCGATAGCGACTTCCTGCAGGGCCTGCACAAGGGGCAGCGCAACAAACACACGCGCATCGACCCCTTTGACGCAGAAGGGGACCACGCAGAGGTCTACAAGGACCTCATCTTCCAGCACACCGTTAACGACACCAGCGCGCAGGGGATTGGTGACTTTGCCTACTTCAAGCGAGACATGTTCCCTGCTTGCCAGGCATCTCTACCTGACACGCCCAGTACGCAGGACGCCGTTGAAGTGGCGTCCGCATTCATCGCCAGTTGCTCAGCCAAGTGGCAATGGGTCAAGCGCTTCCACGACCCTCAAGACGTACGCACACGTGTGTGATGTGTCCTTGTGTGTGTTTGTGCGTGTTTGTGCGTGTGCGTGTGTCTTTATAAACCTTCGTGCGTATGTGTGTGTGTGTGCGTGTGTGCATGTGTGCGTGTGTGTTCTCTACTCTTCCTGACATAACGTGAGCATGCGACGAAGCACCAACTCACACAACTCAGCTCCCACACACGTATATGACATGATACAGCGCGCGGCAGTGGTGTTGTCGTCGTGGCTCAAGTTCAAACCGGGCGAGTCTGCAGTGCCCGATCAGCCGTGCACGAATATCAAATATCTCTCCAGGTCAGGTCATCGCCTTGCTATACACACACACACACACATACACACACACACACACACACACACAGAGTCGCACACTTACACACTCACACACACATACACACACACACACACACAGAGTCGCACACTTACACACACACACACACACACACACACACACACACGCACACACACACACACCCATGCACACACACACGCACACATGCACACACACACATGCACATACACACACGCGCGTGCGCGCGAATGCATCTGAGGCTGCTTCATCAACTCGCCAAATACGTTCACGCCACGCTTCACATGACGTTCACCTCCGCCTCATTCTCCTTTGCCGCCTTCGGCTGCTCATTCTCAGGTGGTATGAGAGCGTGATGACGCAGGGGTTGAACGGAGTCATCCTCCACGACTGCCTTCCACGCGAGATTGTCGACGTTCTCCAGAACGACCGCATCAAGTACGTGTGTGTGTATGTGCGTGAGTATGTGTATGTGTATGTGCATGTATGTGTATGTATGTGTATGTGTGTGTATGTGTGTGCGTGCGCGTGTATGTGTGCATGTGTACACATCTCTGTACCTCCTGTGTACCTCCTGCGTGGACCCCTTGTGTACCTCCTGTGTACCTCCTACGTGCGCCAATGTGCACCAAAAAGGGACTCACGTGCCACATTTGTCCCTCACCCCGCCGGATCTCGCTTGTGCAACCGCGTGTGCAGGTTTGAGAAGGTGCAGCTTGACCCGAGCTCCGACATCCACTTCAAGCAGTCGCCCAACGACGTGCGCTTTGTGCTCTTTAAGGAATATCTCGACCGCTCAGACGCCGTCTACGACTTTGTGCTCATGACAGACCTCCACGACGTCAGGTGTGTGTGCCTGTGTGTGTGTCTGTGTGTGTGTGTGTATGCGTGCGTGTGTATGCGTGTCTGTCTGCTGGTCTGCTGCGTTGTTCTCGCCTCTTCCACCACAACTTCCCTGATTGTAACACACACACACATGTACATACACACACAACGACCATCCATCCAACTCATCCACTGCCCCGCCTCGCCCCATACCGTGCAGGTTTCGCCGCGATCCGTTCTCTGCAATGCGCGCGCGCCCGGATATCGAGATCTTCATCGGCGCAGACCGTTACGCCTACAAGAACAACCCGTACGTCGTCTGGTGGTGATGAACAGCAGAGCACCTGCTGTGTTGCTGCTACCGCTCTTCACACGAGTACCGCTGCATGCCTCGACCTGGCACACATCCACGCAAACACACACTTACGCACACACATCACACACACACACACGTACGCACACACGCATACACATCGCACACACATCGCACACACACACACACACTTACGCACATCACACACACACACACACACATACACATACGCACACAGGTTCACGTGGGAGGTGCTGGAGTGGTGCGCGGAGGCGTATGGGCAGCTGCCCTATGAACCATGGTTCGGGGACGCCATGACCCTCAACTGCGGTGTCGTCGGCGGCAAATACGACGCTGTCCTCCGCCTGCTCACACACGTTGTCAAGCTGTATGAGGAGCGGAAGTTCACCAAGTTCCGCTGCTATGAGCCATGGCAGCGGCACTGCGACATGGCCATGTTTGCCATCGCCCTCATGACCGGATACGAGACGATGCACGAAGACCCATGGGCCGACTTGGCGGGGCCGTTGTTACGACAGCCGTACCGGTACGACAGCGGCGCGCCCTTCACCAGCTTGTTCACAGAGGGGCACGACATGCACCCCAACTATGTCATACATAAGTAGCAGCTCCCGCATTCGTCGCTGCCGCAAGCATGAAGCTTGCACGTGTGTGGACGCGTGCGCATTTGTGGGTTGCGGTCGCTCCTCCCGTGGACCCATACTTGACAGATAGATGGTATGTGATTGATTGTACATGGAGTGTTGTTTTGTTTGCGCTGATGGTGCGGATTGCATTGCTGTTGTATACGACGGTGGTTACGGAAGCTGTAACATAACAAAATAAACACCAAACACCAACATACACCTGTGCCAGCCAGGGAGACAACGACAATACATACTTCAACAAGATCGATGAAGATCGAAGCCAACACGCAAACACACAAATACACATAGTAACACACACGCAAACACACAAACACACATAGGGACACAGTCACAGCACACACACACACACACAATCATGCACACACGCACACGAACCATGCACGCACGCATATGCACAGAGGCAGAGCCAACACACGGCGCACGCACTGCGCTTATGCAGACTCGAGCATGTCCTCGAGCGAGATGTTGTCGAGCGGGCAGGTGATGCCGTAGTTCAGCAGCCAAGCTTCAATGCAGTGGCAGTGGAACACATGTCCACACGGCAGCTGCTTGACAACCTGTGACGCTCCCATCGCCTCCAAGCAGATGGGGCATTCGTCCGCAGCGTGCCGTGGCTCCACGCCACGCTTACGCACCTTGCTGCTGGTCGTGCTCTTGCTGTTGTTGTTGTTGTCGTCGTCTTCCGCACTCGCTGCAGGGGCGTCATTGTCACCCTTTGCAGTTGTGCTGGTGTTGGTTGGCGAGCCAGATGTTGGCGTGGGCCCACTGCCATTGCGGTTGTCACTCGTGGGGGTCTCGACGGTGGCCGCTGTTGGTGCCGGTGCTGGCACTTGGACGCTGGGCACAACGTCACGGAACTTGGACAAGGCATCACGAGTCAGCGTTCTGATGGTGGTGGTGGTGGTAGTGGTGGTGAGCGTGGCGGTGCAAGCACACGGAACGAAACGCACAACACTACAGTGAGTTGTTCCTCTTTCCATTCACCCTCACACCAAGCATTCACGCTCATCGGGAACGTATACATACCCCTCTGCTTGTTCACACACACACACACACATACGCAGAGTGTGTGACACAAGCCCACAACCACGGCCCGCAAAAGCGCACTTTGGCTTGACTGATTCGTCGAGCTGGAGCAGGAGCTCGTAGTCCTCTGGTCGCGCGTCCCTGTATTGGAGGTCAACAAGCAACCGCTCTAGTGGTGTCGCTCTGTGGAACACACACGCATGCATACATTGTGGAATATATCAACCACAGTCAATCGTAGACGCAGAGCACACGTCCACACACACGTCCACACACACGTCCACACACACACACACACACACACACACACACACACACACACACACACACACACACACACACACACACACACACACACGTCCACACACGTCGCCCCCCCCCCACACACACACACACACAAGTGCATACCCTGCGGGGGCGGTGTTGCGTGTGATGGCTGTGGTTGGTCGTGCGGCTGGCACTTGGTAGCGATAGATGGCACGTGATTCGCGCTGCACTCGCTCGACTGGCTCAACAACGCCGCCGTTGTACGGGATCACATCCACCCAGTTGACTTCGTTCTGCTGTGTAGCTGGGCCCCGCTGCCACCCAAAGTTGAGCGATGCATCGTATTCCCTGCGCTGGGCAGAAATGCCCTTGTGTGGGTGCTCGAGCTTGTTCGTGGCAATCCTCGCCTTCTTCTTCTCAAGCCATGCGCTCTTGTGCTTCTTGCAGCGTGCTGCGCGGATGTCGGTGCGCTCGAAGCGTCGCAGGTGGCTGTTGCGGCGTGTTGACCGGCACACGTTGAATCCGCGCTTGCGGTTCAGCGCATGCACCTCCCATCGCTCGCCCACCTCATCCCACCGATCCCACAACTTGTGTTGCGCTGTCTCCTCCACCTCAGCATCCTCGGCATCCTCATCATCCTCATGCAGCTGCGCTGCGTTGGCGTCATCAGCAAGCGGTGTGGACGGCGAGCCTTCTCCGCTCATCGCTGCCGGTGCCCATTGGGAATCGCCAAGTACCTCCGTCAGCTGCGACTGCAGCACCAGGAGCGCATCCGCCGTCAGCGCACACACGTCCTCAGTGTGTTGTTCGGTGGGTGTGCTGCAGCTGGTCACTGAGCTTGCGTATGTGTGGCGGGGGAGTTTGGTCTCGGGTGCAAAGCGCGGGTCATTGCGGAGTGCAGCCGTGAGCAGGCCTTCTGAAATCCTCTGGCGCAGGCGCTGTTCGCCGAGCAAAGGTGCGTGGTTGTCGTCTTCCAAACCGACGTCATCATCGACGTCATCATCATCGTCATCATCCACTTTGTCATTGTTGGCGGCGTTGCAGTTTAGCGTTTTGTTGGTTTTCTCCCATGCCTGCTGTTCCTGGTGTTTTGGGGATTGGGCGTCGTGGTGGCGGTCGTGGTGGTGGAAGCAGAGGGAGGCGACTGAGTCCGAGTCGGAGCTTGATGTCGTGGAAGCTGAGTCGGCATCATCACCACTGCCTTGACAGGTATGGGTTGCGTGCTTGGCCCAGGATTCCGTGACTGCGTCCAAGAACGGCAGGAGCTGGTGCCAGGCGGTGGCGGCGCTCACACGCTGCGTCTGCCTTGTCAGCACAGTTGTCGGTGGTGTTGTCGGTGGTGTTCCTGTCGGCTGCGGCCTCACGGGCTCCGTGGCGCGAATGCCAACGCAAGCAGCATAGCTCATGCTGTTCTTGCCACAACTGCCCGTCATCTTTCACAGGGGGAGGGGACAGAAAGAAGGAAGGAAAGGGGAGAAAGAAGGAAGGAAAAGGGGGGAGGGAGGGAAGGAAGGAAGGGTTCTGTGGGTGTGCTTGGTGTTCCCAAGCGTTCCTGCGACTTGCTTGCTTGCTTGTTGGTCTGGTGTTACAACAGTATGTTGGTGTTAAATGTGGCAGCTGTGCTGGCCTTGTGGGAAATGCAGAGTTGTGATAGGGGTGTGTGTGTGTGTGTGCACACCACCATGGATGGAAGGGATGTGTCGCTGGTGGAGTGTTACAAACACCCCCGACTGTCGTGCAGTCGTGCACACGCACAGTTACACAACAGAACGTCATCATCATCCTCGGTTTGAACTTCCCGGGTGAAACGCGGAAATATGACCCAAAGCATTCGTGAATCCTCGTCTTTGCGATGTTGCTTGTGTGGCTGGCCTGCTTCTGGGCCCGTCCCACACAACCACCACAACAAAACATCACAGGGAGCAGAATAAAACAACAAAATATTTTGATTCCTCTTCCTCTCTTCTGCACCAAAACAACAAACGGAAGAAGAAGAAGCAACCGACCAACCAACAACCCAGAGCAGCCGCAGCAGCATCGCAGGTGAGCCAGCCAGGCTTCTGTGCTTCCGACGTGCTCGCCTTCCTTCTATCTACACAGAGAAAGAGAGAGTGAGTGAGAGGTGTGTGTGTGGGTGTTGTGTTGTGTTGTGTTGTGTTGTTTGCGTGTACGTGTGGCTAGTCTTTGGGCGTACAGGTGCGTGTTTGTCTGTTGTGTGTACGTGTGGTTGTTGGCGTTTGATTTGTATTGGTTGGTGGGGTGGTTCTTGTTTGGTTTCTTCTGCGTCTGAAAACATCAGCCGATCCTGATCGCTGCTGTTGTCGGTGGTGTTGGTTGTGCCTGGTGTTGGTTGTGGGTGGCGCTGGTGGTGGTGGGGCTCCTGCTTGCACCCTGTTGTTGTTGGTGTGCTTGTGCGTGTCTTGACGACACAACACACACACACACACACACACACACACACACACACACACACACACACACACACACACACACACACACACACACACAAACACACACACAAACACGGCATACACACACAAACACACACATATGGGCATCCTCGGTGCAAACACAGCCAGCGAGTGCACTGCCACCGTGGACTCACTCGCTTTGCGTGGCTGCCTTTGCGTTGATCGCTGATTGTAGCTTTGTCAGTGGGCGCCTCTCCCTTCCCTTTGTCAGTCGACCCAGGGTCTGCCGCATCTTGTAAATCTGCATTCCATCCGCCACCATGCCAAAGAAGGTACAGGCAGGCTAGCCCCTGACCGTGCGTCAAAGCACATGTTGGGTCACCCTCGTGCTCGCCTTCGAGTGCGTGTAGATGCGGGATGCGTGCACTGCTGAGGGAAATGCACTTTTGCATCAGCTTGGTTTGCAAGTGGTGCTTTCGTGCATGCAAGCAGCCGATCACATGAGCCTCTTGAGACACTGACCGCTGCTGTTCATCCTGCACGTGCATTGGTTGTGCTTGCGTGCTCTGTTTCATCGTGACGTGATTGCTCTCGGGTGTGCCAGGGTTTGGGAATCCGCAAGTCCATCCACGGGAAGAAGAGCAAGAATGCTGCTCCCCCAGTCACCTTCCCGCCGAAGATTGCGGCTGACCGCATCCCCATCGTCAAGAAGGATGGCCGGTGTGTATGTGTATGTGTGTGTGTGTGTGTGTGTGTGTGTACGCGCGTGTGTGTGTCTGTGTCTGTGCGTGTGTGCGTCCGTGCGTTTGTGTGTTGGTGATGTTTACGATTGACATGATGATTGCGGGTCAGCGGAAGATTAGCGCTGTGGCACGACTACAAACTGTCATCCTCTCACACAAAACCGGCGCATCTCCCATTGCACAATGCGCGGATGTGTTAAGCGCAGCACAAACTCCTCCCGATTCCGCTCGACGAACAAGACAGAGTTGACCAAGCTTCCAGCTCTCATGAGCGCCAGCCTCAAGGACCGCCCCACCCTCTTCATTCAGAAGGTATGCTTATCGTGTGTGTGTGTGTGTGTGTGTCTTTGTGTTGTGTGTGTGTGTGTGTGTGCGAGTTGCGTGTGCGTTGTGTGGTCGAACACGTGGTTGTGTTTGTGTATATGCGTGCCTGCTTTGTCTAGTAGTCGAGGTTTTGCGTGGGCGGGTGACCTCCATTCATTACCCCCTTTGCCACAAGTGCTCATCTCCACCACCACCCCCCCCCCTTTCATCGTTCGACGACGACAGATTCGACAGTGCTGCGCCGTGTTTGACTTTACGGAGTCGCTGAGCGACCTCAAGTCCAAGGAGGTCAAGCGCTTTGCACTGAACGAGCTGATCACGTACCTCGCCGAGATCCCAAACGTGCGCCTGCGCCTCCCCTCTTTTGGTTTCGTCATGTTCTCTCTTCATGTGGTGCATGCACACACACACACACACACACACACACACACACACACACACACACAAAATGCATGCGCATGCTCACGCATTCCATATGTTCATATACACACGCGCGCGCAAACATGTGTGCGTGTGCGTGCTCGCGCGCCTTTCATGACACCACATGTGATGACACATCACAGGCGCTGCAGCCGGACTACTACCCGGAGATTGTGAACATGTTCTCGATAAACCTGTTCCGCACGCTTTCGCCGCCGCTGGACCCAAACGCCGCCCTCTTTGACCCGGAGGAGGTGCGCTCCCCTGCTCATGCACGCACACGGGCGTGGCCAGTCAAAACAAAGCCACCACGACAAGCACACACACACACACACACACTGTTGAAAGCACGCACACACAAACTCTCTCACATTCACTCACGCGCGCGCATATGCCCTCTCCCCCCCCCCCCTGTCATCTCCAACATGCGTTGCCTCGACTGGTTCGCAGGATGAGCCGACACTGGAGGCTGCGTGGCCGCACCTGCAGCTGGTGTACGAGCTGTTCCTGCGCTTCCTCGAGTCAAAGGACTTTGAGGTGCCCGTGGCCAAACCCCACATCAACCAGAAGTTCATCTTCAACCTTCTCTCCCTCTTTGACAGCGAAGACCCACGCGAGCGCGACTTTCTCAAAACCACCCTCCACAGGTGCGTATGTATTTTGTGCGTGCGTGTGTGTGTGTGTGTGTGTGTGTGTGTGTACTTGCGGGTGCTTCACTCACCAGGCGAGCTGCAGTGTTATCGTGCTGGTTTCGGGATGTTACGCTGTTGTGTCCTGAACTGCTATTCGCATCACCTCTCCTCACCCCTCCTCTCCCTTTTCCTGCTCGACCAAACAGGATCTACGGCAAGTTTCTGTCGCTGCGCCCTTACATTCGCCGCAACATTTATCACATCTTCCACCAGTTCATCTACGAGGTCGGCCACTGCTTGCACGTGTGTGTGTGTGCGTTGTGTATGTCCTTCTGTGTGTCTGTCTATGCGTCTGTGTGCGTCTACACATGTGTGCCCACTCATGTATTCGGCCATTGCCTCGTTTGCCTCGACCTGTCTACGCCTCCACATTGCACGCCATTCTGCACCTTCTGCCCATCATCTCACCGCGACCACTTGTGCATCGTGTCAGACGGAGCACCACAACGGCGTCGCCGAGCTGCTTGAGATCTTCGGCAGCATCATCAACGGGTTTGCCACCCCGCTCAAGCCAGAACACACCCAGTTCCTCCTCCACGTACGCCAGCACACACACACACACACACACACACACACACACACACACACACACACACACACACACACACACACACACACACACACACACACACACACGCAC